AATGGTTCTCTGTCATCATTGATGTTTTTATCTCTCCCTTTCCCTTCCTCTCTGAAATCAATAAAAATATATTTTTTAAAAAGATATTTGCTATGTAAAGATCAATCCTGTCACCTTCATTAAAGCTGCTGGAGAAAACACAAACTGCTTAAATGTAGGCAATTGCACATCCCTGGTTTTTGCCTCAGCTTGGCCTTGGGTTCCATCTAATTCCTGTGGTGTGTTTCTGGTCTTATCTTTTCCAGTCCCACATCTGAACCATTTCCCTCCTCTGGAGTCTTTACCACAACCAACGCCCCCCCCCCCCCCCCCCCCCCGCCACCCTCCCAATTGGAATTCTGGGCAGATGAGCTACTCAGCCTCCACAGGAGAAATGTGAGGTCATCCTTGTTCTCATCTGTCCTAATGTCATTAAGGAGCACAGATCTGTCCATGTAGCTGACTCCGGGGCAATACTTGGTCTGTCCAAGGAAACCACAGTCTTTAGTCTTGCAGGCGGAGCCTTTCCATAGTCTGCCCTCTGTTTACCATGCCAGCCTTGTCTTCTCCCATTCCATATCTCACACTTGCACACTGTCACACCATCCCAGTCCCCAGGCTGCAGCTCGCGTTTCTACAGCTCCTGGCACAGTGCGTGGCATGCAGTTGTCAGTAGGTCAATATAAGTTGGAGATAGAAATGAACAGACTTCCTTCTCTGCTTATTACTCATTGTGATCAGCATTCTTCTCCAGGGATAAAGTCTAACATGAGAAATGTATTATGGATTCAAGAATTAGAAGATATTTGAACTATGACTCATTCCATTCACCCGTTTGATGAATAAATCTCTTCTCTGACGTCTCTAACTATTTGTGAAGCTCAAATAGCTCTTAGGTCAATGAGCTAATTGCCTCTACCAAAAACCTATTCAATTTCCAGGAAACCATGATAAAAATTTTTAATGCAAAGTTTTTCTTTATATAGATTTTATCTGCCAGTACTAGTTCTCGGTCTTGGCTTTTGATGGGACACACCTAATCCTCCTTCATGATGCTGGTACTTCAGGTTTTGGAAGACGGTTATGCTCTTTCTCTCAGGGTCTCCTCTTCTCCCTGGTAACATGCCCAATTACATGATCTGTGCCTCTTATCTTCTGGTGTCACTCTCTCTGCTGTCAGCTGGCCCTCAGAGAAGCACCCGGACCTCCCTCTTGGTAGCTGTCATGCTTATTAGTGCAGCTGAGATTACACTGGAGGCTTTGATGGCAGCATCCCTTTGCTGACTCATTTTAACTGAAGTCATTTCCTTATTAAGGACAGAAACTGTGTATTCCTACCATCCATTCTGTTGCATTTCAGTTGAAAGTTGAATACATAAATATGAAACTTGAACAATTATATTTTTTTAACTTAAATTTCATCTCTTGAATTTCATCTTGTTAGAGAGGATTTTTTGTGTGTGTGAATTCTAATGATCATGACATTACATATCCAATATCCTTCCCTGCTTTGTGCCAATGCAAGTTTATGCCATGGATGAAATTATGCAATAGGGTTAGATAAAAATACCTGTAGTAATATATATTTATTGGAAATTAAACTAATGCCAGGCATCATAGCTTAGCATTTCCATGTGTATTCTAGGTAGTTCCACACAACACATTAATCAATACCCTCACCTTACACATGAGCCACTGAATCGGGTATAGGTCCCCGAGGGCTGCCTCTGGAAAGATTTCTTCCAGCTGACATTAATTCACTCGCTAGTCTTTCAACTAGTTACTAACAAATAAACTTACTTGTACTAGAATCTAATTCATAAGTTTGTTATATAAGATAACAGTATCACAAACTCCTTTTTATTTATCTTTATGATGTTCCTGATTACTTTAATGACATACAACCATTGAAAATTTATGGAAAATATAGAAAATTATAAAGAAAAAATAATAATCACTCTGAGTCTTACCATCCAGAAATAACCACTGTTAACTTTAAAATATTTATTAGTCGTTTTTGTTTATACTTATACATGATCTCATGTGTCTTCTTATCAATTATTCCCTAGTTACAAGAGCCCAATTCTTTCAGAAGGCAGCATTTTTGGCTGCCTTTCAAAAAACAAAACAACCCTTATATAAGTGAGGATATTATTAGTTAATAAGAGTGATTATTTGTCCTTTTAATATTTATGTTACTGGATCCCTCCAGCTTTTTTTAAAATAGTAAATTTGCAATGAGGAATAATATATCTTTTATATTATTCATATGTAATATTGGCTTGTGAAATTGAGCAATATAGAATAATTGGTAATTGTATGAATCTGTATACAATTTTACTTTTAAAATATCTATCTTTGTTATTAACTACCATATGCCTTACTATCCCCAAATGACATTTTAAGGACTAGGACCTTGGGGTCTCACCATCCTTCTAACCACTGCTCTTTCCATTACACGCTGTGTCTCTTGATCTATAAGAATTGGGACTTTAGGGTCCTTCTTGAGAAATTAGAATTTGATTCAAGAAACCATAACAGTACTTACAGGAGAGAAATAACAGGTCCAAAGGGCCATGTTAGAAGAGAGTTTGGCAACACTGGGAAATGAGAAGAGAGCTTGTGATGGTAGGATCTGATGGTTCAGCAAAGTAGGCCTTTAATCTCAGGTAAGAGGTTAAAAGTGCAAGGAAAAAGGATAAACCTAAGGTTTGTTATTGTAAGAAGAATCGTCATGGTTTTCGATGGATGCACTGGATATCTGGAAATAAAGACAAGTAATGCAGCCCCTGTGTTGGATATCACTCTCTATGACTACATTAAAAGTTTGACCTCTAAAAAAGCTTCACATTTATATTCGAGGACCATTTTACAGGCATCTATTTGATGGGCTTGATCAGCCCATTGGTGCTGTCTTTGTGAGGAGGGCACTTTGAGGACTGGAGTGGGAGTATCTGGTTTGAATCTGGGTTCTGTTCCTTTCAGAGGCAGGTTGCCTGACCTCTCTGAGTCTTGGTTTATTCATCTGTAAAATGGGGATGAGCAAGTGGCAGTGAGAATCAGCTAAAATAGTAGACACAAAGTCCCTAACCTAGTAATTGACATGTAGAAAGTTCTCAGCAAATGCTAGAATCTCTGTCCCATCTCTCCTTTGCCATCTCTCCTCTGTGGCTGCTGCTATCAGGAAGCCATCATCAAGGTGTGTGTGTGCTATAACTCATGGGGTTCCAGGTCCTTTATTATTTCTTTAGAAGAGAAAGTATGGGCTCATAATGTCATCTAATTATAATTTATTTATCCCTTTTTATACTCAGGATTCGTTTTTGTTGTGGTTGCTGTTTTATTTATACTGTTCAGTTGCTTTTCAGAAATGAAAAGCAAGGAATCATGATTTGAAATTCAAATAATGACTTTCAGCAAGGGTTCTGCCAGAGATGTCCACTGCGGTAGATGGGCAGCCTAGGAGACGTGCTTTCTTGGAGTAGCCTGTAAGAATCCTGAATGAAAATATAAGAATAATAGTTTGACGTATCCCTGTTTGCTTTCCATAAGAAGAAAAGGCTATCTATCTGTGGTAGTGGCAGAGGTATCAGACCTCAGAATGGGGATTTTCTTGAGGATATCTAATAAGCCACTTACTCACTATGTGATCCAAAGTAAATACCAGATAGGGGTGCTGAGAGAACTGAAGAGGTAATGTGTAAACTACTTTCGGCAGTTTCAGGCACACACTAGGTCCACAATAAATGCTTGTCTCTTTCTTTTCTCCCAGTCTCTGAGACAACAGTTCCTTTTCACTAACATATAAACGTGGGGAACCGAGCTGTGTGCTGCTTGCTCATTAGAGTTTGATAGCTTTGCCTGGCCTTTGTGAACTGCTAACAGCAGGTGAGGTATTGCTGGCTCTCAGTGACTAACTTGATCTAGGTAGACCAAACATTTATGAATAAGTAGATTTTAAGAATTAGGAAAAACCTTCATGTGATAAATACTAGATGCCTTTCCCCTGATACTTGAGTGTTTTGTGTGTGGGAGGTAATTTGGGAGACTTAGCTTTTCTTTGAAAAAGATTTAAAGGAAAATAGAAGCCATCAAGCAAAATTCTTCTTTCTTAAAGTTATTATGCTTAGAATGAAAATACGAGAGTAGATGAGAGGAGGTCTGGTAACAAGGCCAACAATTCCTATATCATTGAACTGTACTCCTCTTGCAAATGGCCTGTGTAATTTTGCTTTCCCCTGTCTTTCTTATAACAATAGTAATAAAAGTAATAATAACAGTATTTTACATTTTCCCAGCATTCTTAAGTTGATCCTGTTATTGAAATATGATGTTTCAACATTAGAGACAAGATTTTCATAAAAATCATGAAATAAACATGTGCCATACATTTTAACTCAACTCATCTATATATAAAAGCCAAGTGACCGATACGACCACAACAACTTGAATGACCAGTTGCTGTGATGTGCACTGCATCTGGCCAACCACCCCAAGGCTGGGGCCTTGTTTTATTTGTGTTTGTATTTCTTGATAACCAGTGCTTAGCATGGGGCCTTGTGTAGCCCAGAGCTCCTTTGAGTATTTATTCAGTTGGAAGAAATATCATTGGAAGATGGTGGGAGGCAAACTTTCCATATGCCTAACTCCAGTCATTCTAATACCATCCCTATGGAGTAAGTTCATACTGTAGTCAAGTAACGTTGGTTCACTGTTTCACAAGAATGTGAGCACCTATCAGGTATTGTGCCAGATGCTTTGGACAAAAGGACAAGGACTAGCTTTTGTATTTAAGTCTTGTGTCCTATTGGGGGAAACAGATACATAAATAAACAAATTCAACCTCGCATGACACTTGCTGGAGGTCACACAGCCTTGACGTCTAAGTGTGTTTAGCTCCAAAGCCACCAACCCAAGATGCTTCCAGAACAGAAACACTAGCGAAGCTCCTCATGAATTCTTTGCTTTATCATTTGACACCATTATTAAAGCAAACCATTTTTGTTGTATTTGCAAATTAGGTTCTTCAGAAGCTTGGCAAAGCTGACGAGACAAAAGACGAACAGTTCGAAGAATATGTACAGAACTTCAAACGGCAAGAGGTAAGTGCCTTTATCTAGCTTATGGAATGGACCATGGGTGGACAATGTTTGCGCTTTAGCATGTAACAAGATGCTTTCAGGCTGACGAAAGAACTTCGTTGGGTTTGGTGTTAACCTGAGGGTAAAGCTTGTCAGTTCTTTAAGGCTTTCCGGTGGAGGGCGAAGGAAGAGGCGGCAGGCACTGCAGGGAGAAGACTTGTGCTTCTTCTCAGGAGAATCTCAGGAGATTAAGACTTCACTTCTCTGGAGCTTTTTAATGTAGTTTATTGATTTTTTAGGAAAGACGATGTTTTTGGTGATTTATATTCCACTAAGCATTAGCAGTAGTTATGTACTTTTGGCAAAATTACTTTAATTGCTGCCTGCTTCAAGATCATCCATTCTCAGTAGGGAGGATATCTCCCCTATGGGGGTGAAAATTGCTTCTCGGTGGATGAAAAAATTGTACTCTTTTTATGTGTATATATTATATAACCAGATTTATAGTGTATCTGTGGTATTAAAATTTCATGGGGGGGGTACATAAAAAAAATGTCGGAGGAGACTATGATGGAAAAGAGTTGAGAAACACCATTTCCTTTAATGGACTGCTATGTGTTTAACAGACACATGAATAAAGGCACAGTTTTTGAAATTACTTGTTTATCTCACTAAGGCTTAACCTATCACTCTTTAGAGATCATGCATGAGGGTCAGGGAGAAGGAAGATGCAGGTGGGGTTGCTGAGGTTAGAAGCTTCAAATCTAGAGGTCCTTCTAGAGGTGAGAAGAAAGCTGGGCCATAAGAGGCTTTCCAGATCCTCTGGCAAATGGAGTTTGGACATGGAACAAGGTAAGGACATGGGTTACTTTCCTGCTGCCATTTATAGCTACCAGTGTCCACAGAGGACATTGGGGGCCTCAGGAATAAATATATGAGAAAAGAGAGAGAAGAAAACTGTAAAAGGAGAATAAATCATGTCCAAATAACTAAGAAAGCGTTGTATTTGTGAAGAGAGAAAATGGAATTCTTAGAGAAATGTTGGATCCAGGTCCATAAAATTAGGTATCTCTCTCACCCCCTCCCATCCCCCCAGTCTTCTCCAGCAGAACAAATTTTCTGTGTCTTTCAATGCTCTCATCTGGTGAGTTTTCACCCATTCTCTCATGCATTAGGGCAACACTCATACAAGTCATTGTCTAAGATCCAGACAACTTCCCACAGAAAACCTTGTCCATCAGCTCTCTGGATTATAGGGAAATCCCAATGTCTGCTTTAAGGGATTGGATTTGGATAGAAGTGACTCATGCTTATAGTTTTCTCTACTTAAGGATTTACACTCTATCCTTTGAAACCTAGTGTTCCCACTTGGTATATCCCCATGGAGCTAATTAGTTCTTTGTTCTTGGATTTTTACCTCTCACTTATATGACATTGTGATGTTAGCACCCCAGAAGGCTAACCTTGGGAAGCATCAAGTTTAAGAACACATTCATGACAATGAAGTGCTTTGCATTTTGAAAGTACAGTGAATTTTTATTGCTCTTATTTGAACTTTGTTGACTGAACCAGATGAAGATTTTTTTTTGTTTTGTTTTTGTCTAAAGTGCTTTATGCTTTTTGCATAAGAAAACCAAGTATTGTCACAAAAAATTTTATTTTGAGAATGATGTTGATTATTCTTTTGGCCATGGTATTCATTGCTTTCTTATTTCCTCACAGTAATTTTATGACATTGCCTTGATTTTTCTCATTTCCATTGTTAAGTGGGGTTCTTAGATATCTGCATAAATTATTGCTTTGTACTCTAGGATCTTCTATCACTGCAACATTTAAAGATATAAAAACAAACTTTCTGGAAATATAACTGTGTGTTTGAGACTTAGAAGTATAAATGAAACACAAGGGGACATTCTAAGATTCCAATTAACTTGTGTTGGGGAGGTTTTGTACATTCCTCATGAAAATATTCCTTTGTAACATGACATGTAGCAGAATTAGGCAAGCTTTTATGAAGCACCCAGTCTTTGCACAGTTCATCATTTAAAAAGTATCAGATAGACAGTCAGCCAATGTTTATTGAATGTGTTCTGTGTGTCTGGTACTCTGCTGATATGTTACATGGACTGTCCCCCCTGATCTTCTGGGAGCCCCAGGAAGTGAGTGATGTTATCATCTTCACTTTACATATGAGGAACCAGAGGTCCAGAGCAGTTCTGTGTTGCCCAGAGTTGCACAGTTCAAGGTAGTAGAGCTCAATATTTTAAAGCCGGGCAGTGCAGCCCCACAGCCCACCTACGTCAACACAATGCTCTATGAGTCACAGGTACCATACTCTGGAATCGTGAGAAAAAGTGAACAGTAGTTAGTTTTGTGTATAGAGTAGAACTGCATCACGAGAGCACAGATAATGCCTTTAGTTAAATTATTCTCATTGACCTGCAGTAGATTCCACTGGGATGCATCCGCAGTTGGCATTCATGTCTTTAAAGCCAGTGCCTTTGAGGACAGTGTTGTGACTGAATTGTGCCTCTCCTAAATTTATCGATTGGAGTTCTAACTAACCTCCAGCACACCTCAGCAGTACACCTCAGACTGTGACTATATTTGGAAACAGATCCAGTGAAGGGGAAATTAAGATCAAATGAGGTCATGTGGAAGGGTTCTAATCCAATGTGACTGATGTCCTCATAAGAGAGAAACAGGAATGAACACATGCAGAAAAAGACCATGTGAGGACACAGGGAGGAGGAGGCTGTCTGCCAGCCAAGGAGAGAAACCTCAGGCAAAGCCAAACCTACCAATACTTTGGTCTTGGACTTCCAGCCTCCAGAACTGTGAGGAAATAAATTTCTGTGTTGTTGTTTTTTCCCCAGCCACCAAGTCTCTGGTATATTGTTATAGCAGCTCTCATACACTAATACAGCATTACAAATGGCAGTTTCAGAAACATTTTGGCCGTTACATTATGACTGGAACAATGAGGGGCAAGGCACTTCTTCCCTTCCAATGATGCATCTCTGAAGCTTGATGCAACTGTTGTTTTTCTAGTACTTCCACTTTCTGTCTCATTTTGACATGCTAGGACATTGTCAATAGCAAGCTGGCATCCATATCCCCAGAGAGAAACGGAGCAGTAAGCCTCAGGAGGTGTTATTGTGGGGGTGGAGCACCTATGCAGTTTGCCTTAATTCCTAGGTCAGTCTCTCCCCTCTCTCCCCTCAACAAAATTCATTTCTGTCCTCTAGGTATTAAGGCAAAAGTTGAAAAGATTTTGTATCATTCCCCTAATGTACCTCATAAGACAAGTCTCTTCATACACAATGAAAGGGGGAAAATTGGAATGGCTCTTCAAGGGTCACAAACTCAATTGCCTAAGGGCAATAAAGCATGTCTTCAAATTGTATGCAGCCTGCATGGTGTGATGAGTTTAATGGTTCTAATAGGCATTTTCATCCCCTTGTGCACACACTGGGTGAGCTTTTCCAAAAGACAAGAATAGAGATCTGTATAAACTCAAGGCTTAAGGCAAACACATGGAAAAATAATATATGTAATTACTAACTAGCTTTCTAATTTTGTTTTGGTGAAAGGTAGAAAGTATATTTTATATGGTCTTCATATCATAGCTGTACTTGGAGTTGATGACTCAGGGATAATTGGAAATTAGGTCGTGAAGCTTGGATAAAAATGTGAACAGTGAGATGTTCTCTTTGATATCCACTTCCCTCCCATGTACCAGCCCCTAATGCCATCCATCCAGGAATGAGATTTCAAAATCCTCTCTGATTTCCTAACATATCTTTTGCCTTAATATGTGACAAAAAATATTAAAAATGGAGAAATTATTTTTTGAAATCAGTGCTGGGTTCTTAAGGCAGCTCCTGTTTACTCTAAAGAGCTCAAAGCAAGAAAAAAAAAAGGAAATTTTAGAGACCCTGCTGCTGCTACTTTAGAAAAACTCTTGTCTTCCAGTTTCATGCACCTGAACTTGTGATAGGGAGAGCTCCATTTTCTGGTAAACCAAGAATGCCTGCAGTGTTCAGCAGACTAGCGTTGGCTTTGATCATAAGTGGAGTCTGATATTACATATCATTAATCATCTGCTAATCAAGGTGCTGATTATTGCTTCATTAAGTCTCATCTCCTTGACAATTTAATTTTCTTCTGAGCTTCAAATATAAGAGAGCAGTAGCATGGCTTTCAAGATTGAGTTGACCTGTCTGAACTCTGAGAAGTTGAGCCAATTTTAATTTGACATGTTACTTAGCCTTTTCAAGAGAAAAATGTCAGTATTGGGCAAAAATAATAATGGAACTGTGAGACCTTCTGTCGGCTCAGGATCACAGATGAGATGACTGGACTTTTCTAGGTGAAATCACCACTTTGTGAAGTTATATCTCCTCAGATCAAGTCTCATATATCTGTTAGTACTGCTGGCTTTTTCTTTGAGCCCTTTCCAAACATCAGTTCACAGTTAGTTTCTGAGTTATAGGGGCAAGTTAATGAAAAAAAATTGTCTGTATTGTATTTGTTGTTGTTTTTTCCTCCTGTCTATATTTTTCTTTTTATAACAAAAATGATATATAAATATAAATCATTACATTTACTATATTTTAGCATGTCAATTCAACATTGCCTGCTTAATGAGCATTAAATACTTAATGCCTTAAAGTGATTTGCTATCTCTGTATAACCTATGAATAAAATCCATTGGATTTGATTTTGCAAGACAGGGCTGCAGTGTCATGAGTGTGGTAGTATGTGAGCATGGTGCCCTGAATTTGTAGTGGTTGCTGTCCTGAGTTTAGTGTTTTAGAAAGTATTCATGCATTTTATGGATGGTGTCTACAATTCAGTCAAATTAATGCCTCAACAATGGCTTCTTTCTTCTGGGCAAAAGTGACTGACCTAACAAGAGTACCTTCTATATTAGTCCCTAAAGTCCTAGGCATAAAGTATTTGTTAGCACTAGCATATTTTTAATGCATCAGAATTTAGTGTATCTAAATAATAAACAACTTGATTCATTAATTTTCACACACAGTTTAGTGCAGGTTAACGCAGTCCTGTGTGAACACCCAATGCTAACATAAAGGTTTACCATAGCTCTTCTGTGTGTCACAATCTATGGTAGCTCTTCTTACCAGCGCACTGGCTCAGCTTGGAGGAAAATCTGTCTGTAACTCTTCTACTCTTCTGTGTCCTTACCAGAATGCAATAGGAAACCTTGATGAGGTTGCATTTACTGTATAGCCAGTCCTTTGGCACAACATAGATGAAATCTTTAGAGGTTGAATCACAAACATGCCTGGGCGCTGTCCAGGGTTCTTAAGGGAGCTGCCTGGAGCCTAGCAAGTCTGGGAACCAACAAATGAGAGATGTCCTGAGCCCAGCAAGTCTGAGAACTGTACCCCTTTGCCCCACCTCCACCCCCATCCCCATCTTTGCCCCACGATACATACACTCAACATCATCATCTTCATCATCTTTATAATTAAGGAATTGGTGCTCCTGAGAACCAACCTGCTGCAAAAGAATCTGGAAACATTTAATTAGGTATGTAATGCGATTTGTTTGTATTCAATAACAAAGATATCTGAATCCTCCCAAAATGATGTACCTTCTGCATTCTTTCTCTGACTATTTAGTTAGATTTTAAATTTCACCCTACTCCTTAGTGGGGATATCATGAGCAGTCCTCAGGCGTACAAGAAGAAAACAACAGCTTCAAGATGCCACTCAGCAAAGGAATAAAGGGACTTTTTGACTGGAGGCAGTGCTTCTTGGACCTTCATAAGGTTTAAAACCATGCATGCTTTTTTGCATACCTGTTAATTTTTAATATCTCCCTGATGAAACCCAAAATGACTCTGGCTTGTTTTCCAGGATAGCTGGAAAGCAGGGAACTTGGGAGACTGCTTCCTTCTCATGAGCTCTGCAAGAATGTGGCACCCCAGGGAGGGAGTAGGTGGAGGTAGTTTTAATAAGGAAAGGAAAGCAGGCCTACTCCCTCGGGCTGTGTGGGAAGGAAGGGATCTGGGGACCATTCGGGATGGAGAAGTAGTAGCTCCTGACATTGATAAATGATTCAATTGAAAAGAAATAAACAAAGAACCTCTAACACCAGAGTAACATTATTATACTCTATGCCAGGGCAAGGAATTCTGTAGGTGGTGAATCCTTCTTGGATCTTGTCAAAGAGAAGTATGAGTTGGGAATCAGACAATTGAATAATAATACACTCATTTGCTGTTATGTTGCTCTAAGCCCTGAGGATAGTGTGACCGTGAGTCAGGATAATAACTTTATCTTACCTTGTCAAGGTAAGAAGGGAGAAAAAATCCATATAGTCTCAAGGATGTGAAATTTTGAGTCTCTTTCTGTGCACGGGAGGGTGCAATATTCAAGGCTGCATAACAAAAGTGGTAATTTTCAGAGGAATTTGGAACAAATTTCCGTGAAATAGCAGTGCTATAAGAATTTATTTCAAATGTAAAATGTCTTATAATTCACATGGAATAATGATGCTAAGAAAACTTTATTGTGCAATAGGTTTTGTGCAGAACTACTCTGTGGCATATTCTAGATGAAAATTTCTCTCCGGAGTCTTTTACCTTTTTGATTCAGGTGAAATATAAGTGAAATTTAAAATGGTTATTACCAAATGATTTATGAGCCTTCATACTTAGGGAAAATTATGAATTTTAACAATTAGAAAAAAAGTAAGTTATGTTACTCCTCACCTGAGGATATGTTTTTATTGATTGTGGAGAAAGAGAGGATATGTTTTTATTGATTGTGGAGAAAGAGATGTGTGTGTGTGTGTGTGTGTGTGTGTGTGTGTGTGTGTGTACAGGGATGCTCTAACCTACAGAACCACTAGGCCAGGGCAGAAAGAAAGTTATTTAAATTAACTTAAGTTTATCCACTTAAATTGCACTCATTTGTTTAAGCCATTATTGTATAATTTGAACTTTCTTCCACTCTTATAGCTTAAAAAAAATCTCTTCTTGAGATTCTTATTTCATTTAAAAACAATTATTGTTTCCTTGGGCTAGAATGAATCATTCCCTTTCTTGTTCTTAAAGAAAAACCAATGGCTTAAATGTGGGCATAATTTGACAGGCTTTCTTCCTTAAATAGTTAGGAGAAGAATACCCTTTGCTATTTCTAGATATTCTGGACAATTGTGGTGACTTATAGCCATACCACCGATGATTTGTGTTACTTTCTGAGGGAAAAGCATCCTTTTGGGTGAGAAGTGATCCCTGTCTTAGCGCCTCTCACATGTCTCAGAGGAGGCCGTGGGCAGTGGTAGAGCGAGGCCCTACAGTGCACAGAGGAAGCAGATGTCTGGGAAGTTCTGTTTTCCATCTCTGTGCAGTTTTCTTTCTACATGACAACAGGCAGGGTGGTTATAAAATAATGGTTTCTCCCCATTTCCTCCCCTTCACCCTCAATAAATTGTTGTTCCAGCAATAAAGATGCTGTAGGTTTATTTTGTGGCTGCATGTGCCCTAGGCAAGCCATTCAGTACCCCTAAGGTCTACATTCAACCACGTAGAGAAATGTGGCCTTGGGGGAGCCCAACCCTATTTAAATCCCAGTTGTACCTTTCAGGGCTTTAGGCTGCCAGTTGGTCTGGATCTGTCCAGGTAAACCACATATCTTATTGCAGATATTAATCTCTCTGAATTATTTGCCATCTGCGGTGACAAATGGTTCTGGGCCTTGCTGTCTTCTCTCAGAACCATTCTTCCTCTTTCCATCACTGGACCAGCACTAGAGCTTCAATTTGCTAAGCCATCCACTTTCTCTTTGACCTTTCCCATTGGATTTCCTTTCTGAAATGTTTTTGTAAATGCCTTTAGTGCTCACTCATTCCATTGGCTTTTTTTTCCTGTTAGATTTCAGCCTTCTCCATCTTGCAGCATTTCCACTGTTGATGGTGGACCATTATATCAGGTCGTTTGGATAGATTATGCTGTAGCAGCAATACCTCCGTTGCTGTATTTCTCACTTAGAAAAATGTGAATGGTAGATGCACCTCATGTTCCCTTCGCTCTATGACTTATGGTGGAGAAGTAACCCCGCTCTGGAATAGCCCAGGGCTCACGGGGAGGGAGAGAGTTGGTATGACTATGATGCTCAGAAGCCGCATGCCACGCCACTTCCCCTCACATGTCAAGTCCCACAACCATACTTAATATGAATGGGGAGGAATGTCCAATCCTCCCCAAGACAGATCTGGAAGAAAGATGCAGTGTAGATGTGACAAGAATAAAATATCCCAGAGCCATCACTTTTCAAAATTTTGTGTATTCAGAATCTAGCACAGTGCCGGTCACATCATAGATATTTAGTAGCAGAAAGACCTCTTTCTTTCTTCCCCAAATTCTGACATTTTGTAGTGATGTTTCGGACCTTGGCCTGACTCTTCATCCTCTATCTTTACAGGTGTTTATCATCAGCCTTTTCTCTTTATTCTCCTCCTCCTTTCCCTACAGTTTCCCACTGCACTTTGATGTTTTGGAAATCCAACCTGGGTTGTTGTTGTTGTTATTATCATCATCATCATCATCATCATCATCATCTAGCTTATGGCAATTTGCCTGCATGCCCCCTACTGGGTATTGAGCCTGTGACTCAGGCATGTGTCCTGACTGGGAATGGAACCAGAGACCTCTTGGTTCCTGGGTCGATGCTCAACCCCTGGGCCACACCAGCCTGGCTCCACATACTTATGTTCGTTCAAGAATGAGCCCCTGGCAATAATGATTCTGACACGTACTGATTTGTACATGTTCCAATGCAAAATAGAGACAGAGTGCTCAGCATCTCTCTGTGTGTTTTCCAGGCAGAGGGCACCAGGCTTCAGCGGGAACTCCGAGGATATTTAGCAGCGATCAAAGGTAACGTGTGTGCATGGGTTGTTTATGGAATGCTACAAGCACAGGTTGTTCTTGGAATTCATGAGTGACAAGATGGAGAGTTAATTACAACACCATTTGGCTTTCTGGCAAGATGGCACTTGATCACAGGTGTTCCAATCCACCCACTCCCAGATTCCCATTGATCATCATCTGCATGTGCAAAGGGAAAAAAAAATACAGGGCATCCCCCCAAATGTATACACACTTCCACAGCTGATAGCTCAATTCTGAGAATGAAATGCATTTTAATAAACACTGCCTTCATAATTACTCAACGTGTGTGTACACATATTTGGGAACACTCTATATGTCTGCCCTGATGCTAGAAACTAGGAATAAAGCCTCCCACATGCAAGAGATTTCTAGGAAGAGCTGTGAGAGCAAGCTCAAGAGCTTGTTTAAGAAAAGCTGCAGCTGGTTTACACCCTGAGGGAGAGCATGTCCCAGGAGAACACTCACAGAGACACACACACTTCAGCCCTCTAGTTCTGCCGTCGCCAAACTTTCAGACCTCAAGGACCATCAGTGCTTCCCGCACCATCAGCTGGTGACTGCTGCTCTAGTTGAAAGGAGCAAGAAACGTGGCAGAGACAGGTGTGGAGAATTATCAGGAGTCACAGCCCGGGACTGTCTGTGGTGAGTGGAAACCAGCCACACCTGTACCCTGCCACTGTCTGCGGACAGAAAGGCGCTGGCATTGGTTTCTGCTTCAGCCATAGGAGGCAAAGAAATGAGGCCCATGGTTAAGAGAGGAGAGAGCATTGGGGATGAGGGTTCCATTGCTTCCTGCCGTGCGTCATACAGCTCCCAGCACGGGGGCAGTTCCTAGTGAACCCACGGGGGTAATAGATCACAAGGCAGGTTTTGAGATTAGTGGGGAGAGAATGGATTGTCTCAAGGGGTATTGGGTAAACTGGCTAAACACTCAGAAAAAAGTGAGATTCCCATCTTTGTACTCCCTTCTTCTTAACTCCAAACATACTTAAAATGTAAATACATGTACAAAGAGGTATACTAAAATAATAAGATAAGATAGAATAAAATAAAATAAAATAAAATAAAATAAAATAAAATAAAATAGACTTAGTCTCTAGTCTTGGGTGATGAGGTCTTTACCATGGTAACCAAAAGACAAAAAAACATAAAGGAAAAGACTGAGAGATTTAACCTCATAAATATATAAAACTGATATATGTATGTTTAAAAAATTTTTAGGCAAAACATTTAATGAAAATGAACCAAAATATAAAGATGAATTGTTTGAAAAAAATTATAGAGGTGTAAATAAAACCAAAAGGAAGGTGATTTCATGTTTAAAAACATTAAATGTAAATCAAACATAATACCTAACATCAGCAAAGCTGTAGGGAACAGAGTCCTTTCTGAAAATGAAGTGCATTTTAATAAACACTGCATTTATTAAAATGAGAGCAGTTTGGCAAAAGTTTTTTTTTTTTTAAATTAATCCTCACCAAAGGATAGTTTTCCCATTGAATTTTAGAAAGAGTGGAAGGGAAGGATGGAGAGGGGGCAGAGAGAGGGAGGGAGGGAGGGAGGAAGGGAGAGAGGGAGAAAAGGAGGGAGGGAGAGAATCAACATCGACTTGGGAGAGACATGTCGATTGGTTGCCTCTCACACACGTTAGGTAACAAACCTGCAAGCCAGGTAATGCCCTTGACTGGGACTTGAAACTGAAACCCTTTAGTGCATGGTATGATGCTTCAACCAACCACGCCACCCAGCCAAGGCTGACATTAGCCTTGGTTTACATTTGCAAAGAAGTGAAGCTCAGAGAATTTTATTTGCACAAACTTACAAACTTCATGATTCACTGAACTCAATAATTAACCTCAACTATTATTATTAGAATAGTCCAGTCAGAAAATAGAAGGCACTCTATGTATTTCTTTAATTATTGATTTAGGATTAGATTAGATAATATTTCAAACACAGAATTTTTTTTCTGTTAGCCGGTTTTGTAAAAGGCAGAATAGTTTGTTCATTGAGTGAACTGGATCTCTTCCTCAAATTTTATATATTTTGATGTAGTTTACCACTTTGTGGAGAATGCTGTTTAAGACTGGCATAATTCTTTTCCTTAAGGTGGTCTAGAAGGAAAATCCCTTAGTGAAAGGTTAGCTCAGAGAGACACTGGGGGGATCATCCAAGCAACTTTTCACTCCACTGCTAATGGCAGTGGAGTGCAAGGACCTCTGTTTTCTCCCATCACCTTTTACTGACTGGATGATGTTAACAAGTGGAACCCCACAAACGAGATTCAGGTACATTACTTTGACAAAGATTGACTGTAATGAAATTTTAAACAGGTTACTCAGAGTTTATCAGAATCCTTAATATATCAGTGTAATTGCCAGAGGGCCTAAGGGAGTAAGCAGCATTTCCCAGTTATTTGACTGTGGGACACTTTTTTTCTTTTCCAAAATATTACCGAGTTAGAATTCCTTGGAGCACATTTTGGGGTTTTGGGAGCACACTAAACCATGAGGGTTTTTGGTAAGTAGATCACAGTTTGCATTTTCAGAGTACTTTCCTGGCCAGCTTTTATGTTTCCATAGAAAGAACTCGAGCCACCTCATGCTGCAGGCAGGATTGTAGAGGAACGAGATCTGGCCCCAGAGAGGGAGGGGCCCTGGGTCTAGTGCCAGGATCAATCGTGGGAAAATCACTGAGCCTCTCTGCTGCCTTGGTTTCCTCATCTGTAAAGTCCTCCACTTGTTCTTCGAAGCCCCCAAATCTCCACCTCTGGGATTCTGTGAAATTGGGTGAAGTTCTACTCATCATCACTGATCTTGGGTGGCATCCTTGGGCTTTTTAAGGTAGATCTTATGCTCTCATTCACTTTAGCAGCGGCCATCCCATTGAGCCTCAATGATGGGCCTGACACCATTTGAGAGGATGGAGATGAGAGATGAACAAGATACAGCCTGCTGTTGGGGAGCTTGCAGTCGAGATGGAACAAACAGAAAGGCAGATGTGCACTGTAACATGCGTTGTAATGGAAGTGTGCATTGTATGCCGTTCTGTGAAAAGTCAGCGTGGCCAAGTGGCACCCAGATGCTGAAGGAGCCTGGAGACCCAAGAACCAGGCAGACACGTCCAGCTGGCCGACTCACAGAGTTTGACAGGGACCTCGTGCACTGAAACGGGTTCCGGGTGGTGGCAGGACATTCCCATCTCTGCCTCTTCCATCTTCTAGACCTCCCTCTTTCGTTCTGCCTTGAGGTGGGGCTAGGTATGAAAGGAGTGTGTGGGGTTAAGGTGAACTAAGGAAGGAGATAACATTGACCCTCCTTGCCCCAGAGGAAGGAGTCATGGGAATTCTGTGACTAGCCCTAAGCCACTGTACACATTCCAGAGTCCACTTAGGGGTCAAAAGTCAGGGCTCGGTCACTCAAAAATTAAACTGGTGTATTAGATTCAAGACAGACTCAGTTTTGCAAAATGGAGTCAGCTCTCTCCACCTATGTGCCATCCCCAAAGAGGGCAGTGCCCCACTCTACTATGCAAGGAACAGGATGCCAGGTGAGGGATTGTCTTTCCTAGGATCTTACACTTGAATGGACCAAGAAAGAGAACCTACCTGGTCATCAGGTTATAAGCTGTACCAAAGAAGGAGGTTGCTACTGGAAGGAGCATCCTGTACAAAAGCTCAGGAAGCAAGAGGGAGCATGGGCTCTTGAGGGAACAAGGAGATTAGTGAGGGGCAAGCAGGAAACAGCTGCATGAGACGCACAAAGAGGCGCTAATGTATTGCATTATCCTGGGAGTTTATTCTGCATGTGGGAGAGAGTGTCATTACATTATCACAGGCAAGGGAACGCGTGACATGATCAGGTTAGCATTTTAGAAAAATAATGATTGTGGTTGTTTGGAAGTCAGGCTAGAGGAAATGGAACTCCAAGAAGTTTAGCTCAATAAATAACCAACATTTATTGAGCTCTATGCGCGAGACACTGACATAAGCTTTCACTGCTTCATGTCATGTTATTCTCACTGCACCCTATGGCAAGTCCCGTTATTGCTAAGTAATGTGCACTTTGGAAAACGAGATTTGGGGTAGTTATGTAATTTGCCTAAGATCACAAGATGGTGTATGATGAAACCAAGATTTTGATAAAGGCCGATTGATTGCAAATAACAATCTTAATTACTATGCCATACTGCCTCCAAAAGTAGTTTTTAGGAAGGCTGGCATTTGACCGTTTGCAGTGTGTTAGGTACTTGCTGGGCCGTTTGCATGGATTATTTTACCTCATCTAAGTAATGGATGATGGGTGCCTTTCGCGGGCTGGGGCCGTGGGCCTGAAGGAAGAGACTTCACCTGAGAATCAGGTAGAATTGGCTTGTCTTGCTGACAAATTCCGTGTAGGAGGATGCATGGAAGAGTACTTCCAGTTTCCTAACTGGGACCACTGGGCAATATTCATGAGGATGGGGAAGAGGAGGAGGAGCAGGTTTTGACAGGAAAGTCAGAGGTGCTGGTGGGACCTCCAGGTAGACATGCCCGGCAGAGATCCGGTGGGTGAGTGAGGAGGCCAGACAAAGGGACACTGAACACAGAGCATCTTTCTCTAAGGAGCGTGTGACCCATGTGGTGTAATGAATTGTATGTGTCTTAGGTGTCAGCATGACCTCAGCAGTAGAGTTGGCTGTTCTTGAGCTGCTTACAATCTGGGTATTTTTCCTCCACTTACCTCCCCCTCTCCTCCACCGCTTGACACTCTAAGTCTAAAGACTTCCTTTTACTTGAGGCAACCCCTGTCTTCTTCAGCAACTCTCTTCTAAACAATGGGTAAAACTTGCAATATTTCAGCTACCGGTATTCTGTTGGTGGTTTATAGCTGCTGTTGGTTATTATAATAATACATTTTAACTGAGATTGCCTTTAACTAAAACGTATACCCTCAGGCAGCTTAAGCAAAGAGGACTCATGTAGCAGTGTAATCTATGCAAGGTATCTTTGATGACAGAGAGATTCGCAGATTTGGCTGCAAATGTAAATAGAGATTGTTACAACAAATGCCTTGGAGAAAGTCCAAAATTCTGAAGAGGGAAGTAGTCCCTATCTATTGTAATAGTAAAACAGAATTCTCCCATGGAAATCACAAATCTTCTGCTTTACTGTTGACAAACTTCATTAAAGGAAACAGGTTTTAGCTTTGTTCCTCTTACATCTGTCAGCAGAGTACATTCTGAGTCCCTGAAGTCTCCCTGTCAGTCTCTCTGTTCCTTAAGAGCAAGGCGTGTGTCTTGTTCACTTGCACATCCACCCAGTACTTTGTCTAGAGTGTTCTAGAAACAGTTTCTATGTCAAAACAGATTTTTTCCACATTATCCATCCCTACTGGGCCACACAGCAATTAATAGTTACTTTAGGCTGCTAGACACATTTACTGCAACATTTTGCTTTGGACCTCAATGAGTAAGGTCACGTGAGTTTTATTTTAAGCTTCCATTCACAGTTTTATTTTTACCACAAAGGTTATTTGTCCTGTGATACCATTATTTCTTTTTCTTCTTGCTAAGGCATTAATAACCTGTCTTAATAGCTATTTATAAGGAAAAAAACTTCAGAAGACTTTCAGGGGGGTCATCCAGCGCCTGATGTGGTTTGAATTGCAGGGGCACATTATTAGCACCGAGGCTTGTACTTGGGGAGAGGTGAGCGTGGAAACTGGAGCTCCTGTTGCTGCCGCCGCCTCACCATGACCGCACGTACAGGGGAGAGCCTCCTCACGTGCTGGGGACTGACTGATGCCGCTGTGTGCATGACTTTTGGCTTTCTGCACGCCTACGAGACTCTCACTTCCTCCAAGTCCCCAGGACATGGAGGCATCACTGTTTCCCCCCTTGCCTGCCTGGGCTTCATCTTGTGTGAAGGTGTTTCCGCCTGTTGTCAAGGACTCCTTTCACAAGCTCAGTGAGGTGCTTCATGGAGAGGGGCAAGGCCCTGGATCACATTCCAGCCAGTGATGTGCAAAGACCCACTAAGAATCTCCTTCTTTTCAGGGGGAGGAGAGTGGGGGTCATTTTGCACCCAGAGAATGAAAAAGCACTACCAGCTATCAAATCACATGCTGACTTTTATACAACCAGTCCAAGGATGTACGTCTGTCATTTCAGACATCTTCTTTTGTTTTGTTTTTCCTCTCACAGTTGAACCCAGAACGGACTCCCTGAAATCCAACCAGCATGCGGCTGAGTCTAGATGGCTGCCACTTCCCGTTTAACAAAAGTCTTTCTGTCTTTGGTTCACTGGCATTAAGTTATGAGATGTGTCTTTGCTTCCAATGACAGCACTGGCTCATCCTTTGCGCTCCCTCTACCCAGCCCCTTTTCATATCCCCTAAGGACAAAAGCCCAGGAACCAGCTCAGCCAGGTCACACCTTCTCCAAGTCTGCAGCCAAACATTGCCCTTTGTTTGTTTTCCATGGCAGCCCACACTTCACCTCCATGTTTTGAAGGAGGGATAGAAAAGGTTTGGTGATTATTTATATCACCAGAAACTTTATATCTTTCCTATTATTAATAGTCAAATGTCTTTCTACTGAGGATTCTGACCCATAGAGTTAAGAATGTTAAGCTTTCTGAGAGTTCTGATTTAAAACATGCTTTGGATGTTGCCAACAAAATTGGCACCATCTAACTGAGTCCAACTGCCTAATTCTACATATAAAAATTTTACACTGGGGAAAAAAGTACAATTGAAATTGCAGGGTGTTATGCCTCATTCGTCAATGTATAAAAAACTAAAACCTAAAGTTGTCTTTGTACAGTCTAGTATTCTCTCACCAAAATTTTGCAATATTTTTATGACAATAATTTACCAGATCCATGTTCAAACCATTTTGAAACTTTCAAGGTAAAATTAATCCCACAAATGCCATGATCAGTGAAGAATGCGGCCTCTCAAAATTAAATTTGTTAAAACCAATGCAAAGTCCACAATACCGTAAGAAAGGTGACCAATGTGGTGATCCTTTCTGCAACCTATGAGCTATTAAAAACAAAAAGTAAGCCTTAAAACGATCAAAACTAACCATTTCTACCAAGAAAATATGTGTATCTATCTTACAACAAATTATTAGATCCAAATGACTTAAGTGCCTAATATTATAATTGAACATTTGAATTTTCCATTATTTTTTAATAAATCATTTATTTGTATAATTTATATACAATTACTTTTTTTTCTTGGTATTGAGAAATAAGTAATATAACTTTTGTGTTAACTTGAGGAAGGGGTAGCTTCTTCAAATTTGTATAAAATGCCATATGGGCTGGTGGTAGCCTTAGTTTGGTAGTGTACTTAATAAAGAATAAAATGACAAAAAATAGTAAAACAATATATATAGATTTTAATAATATTGCAAAAATAAAACCTTTTGTTCTCCTTTGAAAATTGTTAGGCTACTTAAACCAATTTCAACTGTTATGTCCTAAAAACCTGTTGATTTTGCTTCTACCTGCTTCTAAAAAATGCTTTATTTCTTGTATTTAAAGTCATTTAAATTAATTTCATTTTAGGACTCTGTAGTTTTATGGACAAGTATTCTAGGTGTCCTATTCATTTATGGTTCCATGCTGGTTAGCAATTGACAGCACACAAACAGGGCATATTATTATTGTTGTTATTTTCAGAATAGGACACATGGTTGATATTGTCAGGACCCAATATCTATCATTATCACAGTAATAACAGAAAATGCTCACTGTAATCAGATAAATCTTGTAGACCCTCAAACAAAGATATAATTATAGATGCAGTTAGCAATTGTGCCTTTACCATTTTTGCTTTAAATGATTAACAAAGATTTTTCTCTCACTTGGAAGGAGGAAGAAACTCCTCACCTATCTAACAGGAGTTGTTTTTCTCCAACACCAGGCATGCAAGAAGCCTCGATGAAGCTCACCGAGTCGCTGCATGAAGTCTATGAGCCTGATTGGTATGGGCGGGAAGATGTGAAGATGGTTGGCGAGGTAAGAGCCAGAACGGCCCCACACAGGAGGCCTCGGGGGGCTTCTGCGAGGCTCCTAACGAGTGCTGCTCACTCAGCCTGTTCCTCAACCGCCTCTTACCTCTCCTCAGCCTTAATCATGAGGGGACAGACACCAGGTACATTCACAGACACCATATACATATACTGTTATGTAACATCTCTGGACTTCGGTATTCTCTTTTGTGTAGTCATGGCAACAATAAGACTTTCCTCATAAAGCTATTGTGAGAATTAGATGACGACATGTGTACACATGCATATGTATTTAACCCAGTGATTTTCAATTGGTGCAGTTGGTGTACCTCAATGGGTGGGCTGCAAGAATTTTGAAAACATGCGATATCTGACTATTTAGTCAGAAGCACTGACCTTTTTTCCCTTAGACTGTGTTAAAAAAATTAACAACAGCCAACACAATAATAGCCACCCTTTGTGAATGAATCAAAATTATACCTATTTTTTGGTAGGTCAGCAAAAACATATATTTTTGGTGTGCCATAGGATTTTAATAATTTATGTGTGCCAAAAGATGAAATAGGTTGAAAATCACTGATTTAACCCAATGCCTATACATAGAAATAGTAGGAGGAATAATAATAACACCAAATATTCATTGTGTCTTTATCATAATTGGAAGGTGCTTTTCCATATGACTGTACGTTTTCTTTTCTCTCTGGGAAAGCTTCAGCAATGGTTTATTGCTTGTTTGAAGTGGTTTCTAATTTCCTAGAGGGCTTTGGAAGCCTTCTGTGTGCAATTCTTCACAGTCCCGAAGGGAAGAATGTGGGGTTCTACATTATTTTTAATAAATATATTTTTATTGATTTTAGAGAGAAAGGGAGAGGGAGGGAGAGATAGAAGCATCAACGATGAGAAAGAATCATTGATTGGCTCCTCCTGCACACCCCACACTGGGATGGAGCCTGCTAACCTGGGCATGTGCCCTGATTGGTTCATAGGTCAATAGTCAATCACTGAGCATTCTTTATTATATTCTTTATAATTCAGCACCAGAAATACATTTGTAATGAGCTAAACCTTTAAATAACCCATATTGTCATTAGAACTGGTAGCCAAACAGCTTAGAAAATGTATTGTGTTATTTAAAAATCCACATTTTTACTATCTGTGGGTGTATTACTTATCTAATTTTTTAGTTTCATAATTTTTTGGAAGTTTAGTGAAAGGTATTCATTTATTTCTTTTTCTTTCAGAAATGTGATGTGCTATGGGAAGACTTCCATCAAAAACTAGTGGATGGGTCCCTGCTGACACTGGATACCTATCTGGGTCAATTTCCTGACATAAAGGTATTTTATTCTGTGTCTATAAAGCAAAGAAGCAAATGGTTCCATGTGCTTATTGAAACATGGGCAGGAGGAATCAAACACAGTTGGTAACTTTTCATTTACTTATTGAGATTTTTATTCTGTCCTATCAGTTTGAAATAAAACGTAGTTACAAAATTCACATTTTCCTCATTTGTTAATGGCCTCAGCTTTTCTCTATATAAATCTTTTTAATCATATAGATATCAAGTCAGAAATCATAGATTCCCACCAAATTTTAACCTTTTTTATTTTGAAAATGTTTTATATACCACTGGAGGCCTGGTGCACGAAATTCGTGCATGGGGTGGAAGGGGAGTCCCTCAGCCCAGCCTGTACCCTCTCCAATCTGAGACCCCTCAGGGGATGTCCGATTGCCTCTCACAATCCAGAATTGCTGGCTCTTAATGGCTCACCTGCTTACCTGCCTAATCACTCCTAACTACCTCTGCCTGCCTGCCTGCCTGATCACCTCTAACTGCTCCCCTGCTGGCCTGATCACCCCTAACTGCCTCTGCCTCTTCCCACACCCAGAACCCAGGATTCCCTCCTCTGGTAACAGTCATCCAGGACCTGGGCTTCCCTCCCTCTGGTTGGCCGCAGGCACCCAGGACCTGAGGTGGCTTCATTGGGGCCAGCCGCAGCTGCAGGGGACTGTGGACCGGCAGGCAGCTTTGCCTAGGCCATAGCCACAGGCGCTGGAACCCGGGACCATGGAATGGGTGGCTTGTCCCTGTATATTGGAACAAGGTTGAAATAATCTCTCTCTCTTGCTGTAGCATACACATAGAGTTTCAGCCCCAATAGAAAATTGTGCAACCATTTCCTATGACGAATAGTTGAGGAAATAGCAATATTAACTTGGGAAGGAAACAATTTGGAACTGGAGAGTAGGGAGGAATAGCTGTTTCTGATACTTGAAAGAGTTTTTTTTAGTGAAAAGGAAGTTAGAAATGGATACAGACTTAATTTCTTTAGAAAGTTAGTACCGAGTGATTATGGAATGAATGGGTTATTGATGGGAAGGAAGATTATGATTAAAAATACTGAGTGGAGAATTTTCACAGCATGAAACACAGTTGACTTCCTTCCCTCCCATTAAAATCAACAGGCCATGTGTCTTAAAACTTCAGGCAAATTTCCAAATATTTACTGCAGCTCATCAGTGAGGTCTGTGGAGTACCATTCATGAGGGGTTGTGTTTGACTTCTCCAACTGTGATTGGCAGGGCACCCAGTGTTATGGTTCTTATTATACAGCATTAATGTCTGGAACCAATGTTGTCATAAGAGCCAGCTTGTCACTAACCCAGGCAGGCTTACAGCTGTGAGCAGTTATTGTAAAATGTAGTTTAGATTCTGTCTTAGCGACCAAGCATGAGCGACTAATTATATACTTACAACATGATGCCATAATGAATCCCAAACTGGGGTAATTATAGAGATTTTTAAAAAGCAATAAATTTTTTTTATTTTTTTTTTTACTGCATAAGGTCAGTTCACAGTGGGAAATCTAAAGAAATTTAGATTGGATTGGATGGATGAAATAAGAATTGTATCATCTATAACAGTAAAACCATACTGTGCTAATTAGATTAGACTTCTTTCTGGATGGCCTTCCAGACAACCTTCTGGATGAGGCTGCAGCAAGTGGGGGATGAGGCAGAGGCAGCTGCCTCCATAGAGGGGACCGAGCCCCAAGCCCCTTGCACGAATTTTATGCATCGGGCCTCTAGTTTTCTATATAAAAGCTAAAGTGCACTAACCCTACCCTTACTTAGGAGATTTGCCTCTTCCCCCCCCCCCCAAGTTTCCCAAATATCAGATAAGTAAGGAAGTAAGATTGATTTGTTTTTCTAATGCAAAACTGTCTGCACCCAAATAAGGAATGGCCTTCAGCATAGTCACTTCTACAGGGTGAGTTGTACTCTGTAATTGACTTGTCACCCAAGAAAATGAGTCACATTATTTACTTCACTTCTTGTTTTGCACAGAATCTAAGATGACCCAGTGCACTATTTCATCTTATTCCTGGGCTTGGAAGTAATTGAATTTTGGCTGCTTTCGAAAATCTAATTCATCTTCAGAGAATCAAGGTTTTGCTTCTTGGAGCAAAGTCCACAAAGCTTTATACACGTTTACCTGTCGTTACACAAGGCCACTGTTTCAAGGGACAGCTTTCCTTTGGTCTAACAGATATTTGCTAAAAATGATTAGCTTCTATCATCCCATAAGCCATTGTATCCACCATACATTATTTGAAGGGTTCCTTTCTACCCTGCCTGGGCTTATTCATCACTTACGTTTAAGTGAATGTGGTGTGTCAAGCCATACTTTCCACTACGAACAGCAGTTGGAAATGGTAGGTACAGAGGCTAAAATGAAAGCGATTAGAATGAGAGAAACTGCCCCAGCCCGCCTCACCAGCCCTGAAGGGGCTGTAGAGGAATATCATAGAGTGCCAGATGGTAATAATTGAATGACAGACTGCCAGAGAAACCCAGGAGCTGGTAGAAGAAGTTCTACCAAGAATTGGGAGTACGTCTTGGACTGAGTGAGGCAAGTGAGGCCATTAGGATTCAAAATTATGAGGAAGCACCTCTTCCTGGTTGGTGATCCTGCACTTACCTGATCCTGAGGATGAGAGCCGCTTAAAATGTGTGCCCGGGGTGACTCACGTGCCTCATGTGCCTCACCCTCCTTTAGGCTGGTGCGGTAGGGGAGCTGTTATCTAATTTATCATTTGGTACAGAATTCCTAAGCAATTCTGGACAAGTTAGAGGTTGATATCTCCTCTAATGGGTTGTTACTTATTTCTTATGGGTCCTATTTCATAATTTTTTATTGAACATTTTGCATCACACATAGAAAAGTAAAGATTGAAGTAATATTTATGACTTTTTTTGTCCGATAGTCAATCTAACTGTAACTTGAGCTGGGTCTGGGTTTTGTTGTCACTGTTGTTACTTTCCGTGCAATATGACTTTCAGAATCCTTTATGAGCTATCGTGGGTGTTTGTGCTTGTGAAAACACCTGCTAGTATAATGTCTTCAGACTCTTAAGTTAAAGTCTAGTTTGTGCTTCTTTTTTGACTCACATACTGTGAGTCCATGGACACCAGAGAGTTTTTCTCAGCGTTCCTGCTCCCCATCAGATTTAAGTTGTCCTTGTATGCCTCCATTGCAGAGGGCATGTGGTCTTTTGCTATTGTCTGTCCTCCAGTGGTAGGCAACTATTGCTTGTTTTCAATACTAGACTTGCAGTGGGAGCAGGGCTGTTTTCTGTTATACTCTCGTGGCCTATGTTAGGTAGAATTTACCTAGTGCCTATGATTGGTCTTGAGCAGTAGTTTTCTGCCTCTGCCCTCGTGAGAACCCCGCTCTGCTTGTTATAGGAGTTGTATCTTGGACTCAAGGAGATTTTATGTCCCTCCCACATGGGTAGCCACTTACCCTCTGTGTAGCAATTACCTCTGCAGGTATTCTAGGGGGCACAGGGATTCTATCCTCTCACCAGAGCAAATTGGTTTTGCTTCTATGCATTAGAATCAACAAATCTTCTCCTGGCCTCTGTGGGTGAGAGGATCTGTTGCTATCTCCTCCAACAGCTTAAAGCGTTGGCTCTTCTAAGAGGAAAAGGTCCCTGGAATCGGTTAGGGCTTGTGTCCACCCCCTAGCTGTCATAGATCCATTCCTTATTCTCCCTGCACTGTGAGGGAGTTTCTTGTCCTTCACCTTCTGACACATCCAGAGGAGCCCAAGGAAAGAGTGCCCCTTAAATGCAATTTCCTCTTGTGTCTTGACACCCAACTATTCTAAACTACAGGTTAGCCCCCACTAAGCCTTTGATGATTTGTTAAAATTTTAGTTGACCTCTTCTTACCCATTTGCATCTAGGAGACAACCTCTACCTGTGCCCTGCCAAAGGTGAAATGGCTTGCATGTCTCCTTTCTCACTGGAGGGACTTGTCCCCCTTTGGAATTGAGATTACTTTATTGTCTGGTGACCTTAGGTCTCTGGTACAACCAAGAAAATTATGTTTTTATGTATTACCAGATTTTTTCTTGTTTATGTAGGAGGGATATTCTTTGCAGCTCTTTATGTCCTCACTGAGGATGGAAGTCTCTAGGAATCAATATATTTTTTTAAGCTCCTGAGATGACTCCAATGAACAAACAGATGGAGGAACATGTCAAGAAAAAGGATTTTTTTATTCCTAAGAATCTACTTTAGAGAACTGCTTTATAAATCTGCTATCTGTGTGAGTGTAATTAGAATTATATAAAGTCAATTCTACTATTTTGAAAATAGAACATTTAAAGATTTAAAATACAGGCTAATACCACTTCTAGAATTTTTCTGGTCTTCGACTATAAATTCTGCTTTCCACTCCTCATGACTAGTTTGATTTTTTATCAGAAGGGAAGGCATTTACCTAATAGTTTGCACACAAATGATTGAAGGCAGTGGTCTGATTTCCACGGGTCACTTGTTTACTTAAATTCCAATTCACCTCGATCTCCAGCTAAGATCTCTGGACAAAGAAAGCATTTTAGCAGAAAAAAAAAATAAATAAAAAATAAATAAAATCTCTGACCAGGTGTCTTTCTTAATGCACATATTTTCCTTCGGCAGAATCGCATCGCCAAGCGCAGCAGGAAGCTAGTTGACTATGACAGTGCCCGCCACCACCTGGAGGCTTTACAGAGCTCCAAGAGGAAGGATGAGAGTCGAATCTCTAAGGTAGGGATTGATCTTCCTGTTGAAACCATTCCATATTCCGTGACCTATAGCAACTGTGCTTTAAAAAATGAAATATTGTATTTCCTTTTTAAAGGCTATTGGAATCAGGACAGAATTTAGACTGAAACATGGTGCTTGTGGGCTGCTTCCTATCATTTTTAGTTAATGATAAGGTTTTTTATGTTATTGTAGATTTCACCTGGGTGACACGACTCATACATTTTGATCAGAATAGACTTGCCCCCCACCCACCCCCAACAATACTGTAGGATGAGAGAAAGGAATGTGTCCCTGCACTTTCTCTCTGTGTTTGTGCTCCACACTGGATGCTAAAATGCAGATATTGATAGTGAACCGAATTTGAAAATCTCAGACATAACTTGTGATTGAGAGTGCAGACAAGTGCTGGATTTGCATAACATTCATTTTCTTTTAGGAAACCCATTAGTAACTTTTATAGTATGTCAGTCATTTACAGATGCCGCTTAATTGATGGCATCTGATAACTACTCCCTTCTCTTCCGGTCTTGCTTCCTCCTATCTGCCTACACACAGCTGCCTGCTTTTCCTACAGCACAGATTTAGATATGTTTCTCATTGTTTAAGTCTTTTAATGGCTTCCATGGCCGGTAGAAAAAAAATTAAATTGCTTAGCACAGCATGTGCGACCTTCTCTATTTGGTTGTGACTCACCCCTTTATCCTTATCAACTTCCATGAATTTTTTTTCCTCTCCTCTCCTTCTATGCACACATCCTGAGCTAGAGGCTCCATGATTTACATATCAGTTCCTGAGCAGCCACAATAACAGCTGTACTTCATGGGAGGCCTCAGAGATACCAGCCACATGTTCAACACTTCATCTTCATCCCCTTTCCTTAATACTCCCACCACCTGTCAGTGGGCATTACTATCTCCATTTTATGAATGAGGTCGCTGAGGTAAAAAGTGATATGACAAATTCACAAGGTTAGTGCACTGAAATTCCAACCCAGGAAACTCTACCTTTATGTATTACAATGCTTTAGCCTCTCCCTTCTTCATTTCAATGTAATTTAGACTTCCCACTAGACTGGGGGTTTCTTGAGGAAGCATCCATATTTGCATCCAGAGCAGTGCGTAACAGGCCATTCACACATTTTTATAGAATGAATGAATCTGCCAGAGAATGTAAGAGCACCCATTGTGTTTGAGTTTTCCTAAAATTTAATATTTCATATTTATTGAATAAAAATGTAGGTATTAAGCAAATTGTTTTTTCTTCTACCCAAAATATTTCCAGGATTTCATAAAGCTATTCCTATTTTATATTTAATTAAAGGGCCCAGTGTATGAAATTCGTGCACAGGCAGGGTCTCTGGGCCTGGCTGGTGATCAGAGCCAATTAGGCCTTACAGCTGCTGGCTGGGGCTTCCTTCCCTGGCTGCCGGCTGGGGCCTTCCTTCATTCCGTACCACTCCCTGGTGATCAGCACATGTCATAGTGATGGATAGAACTCCTGATCTCCCGATCGAACTCCCGAGGGGACACTTTGCATAGTAGCCTTTTATATATATCGATGATTAAGTTGTGTATAGAACTGACTTGTGTTATGTGATTTATTTACTTATTTTTTTTAGTGTAAATACATGTTATGTGTCATTTCTAGGCAGAAGAGGAATTTCAGAAAGCACAGAAAGTGTTTGAAGAGTTTAACGTTGACTTGCAAGAGGAGTTACCATCGTTATGGTCGAGGTAAATATGTTTTTGTATAGGTTGTACCTGTCCCTTTTAGAAGTTTAAGAAGAGTGAATATACGGTGAACGTGCCGTATCTTATATAATAAAAATAAAGTGGGGCCACTACCTCAAGAATAAGTGAGGGAATATATAAAAAATACTGAGATAGCTGCTCTCTCTCTGAGCTTTAATGATGATGAAACATTGGGCTACCTTTGCTTGCTGGAATCTTACACACCACAGGGTACAGCTAAGCCATGAAAAGCCCCTTCCTCTGCCCTCTCATCTCACTCTGTAAATCCTTTATTGTGTACAGGCACATTCCTATTTCCCAGTTAGTATTCTTATCTTAAACTTACCGAGTACATGTTTAATCAATATATTATTTGGTATCTAAGTCCTTTCTTGCTCTTGATTGAGATTTGGAACCTAATGAACCAATTAGGATTCTGGGCTTATTTTTGATGATGTCAGTGAAACAGAAACTTGAATTAAATCAAACTGTAATTTACACAGATGGATTCAAAAGGATTGAATTACACCAGAGTCCAAAGAGCCCTCCTTCAGAGCAGAGGGAGCATACACTGGGGCTGCTGGACTGAATCCTCGGGGCTGGCTAGTGTGTTACTGTTAGGGAGCTACGTAGCTAAGGGATTTTGCTCATGTCACAGGACACCTGCCTCCTCCCCTCAATGCCTTTGCTTCACCGAGAGGCTTGAGATATTTGTGAATGGACAGCTTGTATTTTCATTTGTTCAATGAAAGCACACTCTGACTTTAGCTGAAGAATTGTAATTGATTTATAGGTCTTTTTTTTTTTTTTTTTCCGGCTACACAAATTTTAGAATCGAAATATACTAAAACCAGACCATTTACATTTGTAAAAATTAAAAATAAACTTCACGATCTCCAGACCTTTATGATACATGTCTAAAATACAAGTAAATGCTTAGGACAGTGGTTCCGAAGTGTTATTTCTGAACCAATGCCATCAACAGCACCTAGAGCTGGTTCGAAATGCCATTTCTTCACCCCCACCTCAGACCTGCCGAATCAGAAACAAACCTCCAGGTGACTCTGAAGCACCCTCTGGTGTGGGAACCATGTCTTAGGGTATCCACTGCATTTTAGGAGATGTGCTAGGCTGAAAAAATATTATTTTTGTTCATATATTTGATCAGGAACAGTTGAGCATACTTTGGGTTAAGTATTTTATTTAACCCAACGTATTCAAAATGACATAAATAAAACCTGTTTTAATACATGTCATTGCTATGGGTAAGTGGGAAGAGATCAACCAAAGGACTTTATGCATTTATGCATAACCCATGATCACAGACAGTAGGGTGAAGGCCTGGAGCTTGGAGCAGGGTCAGGTTAGAAGGGGTCAGTAGAGGAATGGGGGGACATATGTAATACTTTCAACAATAAATATACATTTTTTAAATACAGTTTTGCTCACTGGTCTTTCCCTTCTATTCTTTCCTCTTTGCATCTCCACATGGTAGACGAGTTGGGTTCTATGTCAATACCTTCAAAAATGTCTCTAGCCTTGAGGCCAAGTTCCATAAGGAAATTGCCGTGGTGAGTAATGATATGGAATATAAAGTAAATGAACACTTATTCTAGAAGCAAATGAAGTGGCATAGCATTATACAAAGAATGCGTTCGCTTGCATGTTATTTTCAATTGTGTATTATTACTCTCGGTAATATTTCTGCAAGTTTTTTTTGTTAACTCTGGTTAAGAAATATATGAAAGTTTTAAAAGTTTATTTGTGTTTGTGACATTTTTGACACAAATGCTAACTTTTCAATAAACCTTTTTTGGGGGGGCAATAGCCGGGTAGGCATCAAAATGATTTGCAGCTAACAGACAGGTGGCCTCTGTCCCTTTAGCTTTGCCACAAACTGTATGAAGTGATGACAAAACTGGGTGACCAGCATGCTGACAAGGCCTTCACTATCCAAGGTGCTCCCAGGTAGGCCTTGTTCATCAGAGCCATGTTCATGTCCATTCATCTCTAACGCAATGCCTGTTGTAAGTTCTGCAGTCTGTATCAGCCTATGCTGTTTTACTCATCCTATAAAGATCTAATATGAAGGAGCCTTCCCATATACCAGAGGCAGACACCAGCCTTACCAAATTCTATGCTTTCTTATATTTTTAAAATATATATATATTTTTATTGATTTCAGAAAGGAAGGGGAGACAGATGGAAATATCAGTGATGAGAGAGAATCATTGATTGGCTGCCTCTTGCATACCTCACCCTGGGGACTGAAACTTGGGCATGTGCCCTGACTGGGAATTGAACCCTGACCTCCTGTTAATAGGCTAATGCTCAACCACTGAGCCTCGCCAGCAGGGATGCTTTTTCACATTTACCTTCAGCTCGAGATTTGCCCATCATGGCCTTTTCTCATCTTCCCCATAGAATTGACTCTCTGCCTCTTGGCATTCCATGGGAAATGAGAGCAATGGTATAAATTTTAACATATGATTTCTAGTTGTGCACTTATTCTTTCTTTGAAGAAAGGAATTCCCCAAACTCATAACCATTAACCCTGATATTTATCACTGGTGATGACATACTTAAAGAATCCATTTTGAGAAAGGAAAGAGAAAGTAGGTGAGACCTCACCATCATCTTACCTTTTAACTCCACCTCACAAACACTCCATTGCTTTGCTTGTATTGCGTATGGTGATTTTGAGTGTGCCAATCAAGTACACCAAAGGCCCAGTGATCCACAGGCAAAGTATCTGTGTGGCCAGGGTTGTTTGTCTTTATACCAGCTTTCTCCTGTGATTTTGGAATCCCTTTTAATTTGTCCTTCACAGGCATTATATACTCAAAGAGTGCAGACATTGGGCTGGAAATCCAAAGACCCAGCTTTCAGTTTTGTGACTCTATATGCAGTTAACATGCATTGCCTTTTTTTTCTTCATTTTTTTTATTAAGGTATTATATGTGTACATATATTACCAATTCCCACCCCTCCACCCCCCCACTCCCATACATGCCCTTCTTAAGTCTAAGAGCCTCTCTGGTTAAAGATCTCATTTTTTTCAAGGGGGGAAAGATACTACTGAAATAAGCAGTGTTAATAGGCAGTGTGACATTCTACATTTGCAATTTTAACATCAATGTATGCACTCATACAAATTACATTTATAGAAATACATATATTTCTATAAGTATGTAGAAATATATGAATATATATATTTCTATAAATATATAGAAATATATACCCCACCATCTCCATCTGTCAGTGTGAGGTCTCTCTGAAGGAAGCTGATATTCTTATCTTTGCTCTTTACATCAGCTGTATTCATAGTCACTGTATGGCTTCTGGATGTACTAAGTGGGCATAAAGTGTATCTTCTCCTTCTAAGGGAAAGAATATTGCCTAAAAGAATGCATGAAATGGGTAGACCTACTATTTCCAGTATAGCTAGGAACAAAGTAAGAAGTAATATCAAAATGACATTTGGGTGTTTCAGAAATAAAATACATCAACCAAATGAAGGATTGCTTCTTTATGGAGAGATGAAAGGAATAAATGCATCTGAAAACTTCTAACTTGATAAGTCAGATAAAATGGAGAGAGTGGGGCCATGGTCACTTAACCAATGTTCCTTTCGTTTTTTTGTTCAGTGTTCCTCTGCTGAACGAGGTGGTGAGTGAGCTCAGTGGGATCTATCTCAGTGAAGCACAGACTGGGGCGGGGCTTCCAGGCAGAGGCTGTGATTGCTGGCACATGGCCCGGTCCTGGGGCACGGCCTTGCTCTCCCTGTAGCACCCATTCTCCATAGAGCACGCTGCTGCGTACATGCTCGTGTACTTTGGGATGCAGGTCCTGTTCCCTCAGCGATAGACTTTTGGAATTTCTTAGAGGCAAAATGTATCCCAAATGCCCTCTTAGTCATTACATTTGGGCTGTTCACAGCACCTGGCCTGGTGCCATGGATGTGGAGGGTTGTCAGTGAATATTTCTGACTCTGGCCCATCACATGATTTGTTTGCACATTTCCAGGTACCTGAGCTGAGTCATTGCTCTTTAAGGTGTGGAAGCAGAAACAGTTAATGGAGTTAATTTCCAAGTGATATCAGGAAGCACTCCTATGAAATCTTAATGAACATCACCCTAAGGATGCCTTTTAACATAAAAGTTATACTTTTCAAGAAAAGTTTCTCTATAGATGACGACATAGCAAGATTCTCCCGTAAATCAACAGTGAAATTAGTTCATTCAGTTCAGCTTATGTCTGACAGATTCTCACAGGACCTGTTTGGGTCAGTGGAAAGAACAAGGGTTGCATTAGTAAGGCCTGAATTCAGATCCAGTAAATTGCCAAGTAACTTTAGGGGTTTTTAGCCCCTCTGCATGTGTATTGTGGTGATGAGAGATTATCTATGATCAGGGTCTGGCACACAGTGGTCAATAAATGGTACTAGTTATTACATCAACGTTCATAAGCATCAGGCTTAACCTGGAAGGGGAATAGATAAGTAATGGCTGTGAGGGCTCAGGATTTCTCAGATAAATAAACACTGCTCCTTAGAAGGCCCCTTGCTCACATCTCCTGTATGTGTTCATGTAGTGACTCGGGTCCTCTCCGCATCGCAAAGACACCATCACCGCCCGAGGAGCCTTCACCCCTCCCGAGCCCGACAGCCAGTCCCAATCATACGCTGGCACCTGCATCTCCCGCACCAGCACGGCCTCGGTCACCTTCTCAGGTAGGAAGAGAACAAATACATTGCCGTGACTGGAAGAGCGTCTGGTGGGGTGACCCATCTGGGATAGCCCTGGGGTGCTGGGGCATCGAGAGGAGTTCCTCATTGGAAGGTTTTGAGGGGTGAAGCTTTAGGCATTGTGATTGTCACTAAGGAGTCAACTCATTTTTCTTATTTGGATTTTTATTTCCTGTCACACCCTGTACCTGAGTGCTTATCTCAGGCTCTCCTACTCTCCTCTACTCCCATCTCTTGCTTCATTTCCTAAAGCTCAGTGTAATCCTATGTTCTCTGAGAAACCTTCCTCCTGTAGCTCTTTAGGGGCAATTTATAGACATGAAAAGCTCTTTTGTGTATATGTGATTTCACTTTAAAATATATATATGTATATATAGTTGGTTTCAGAAAGAAAAGAAGATGGAGAGCGAGACAGAAACTTCCGTGATGAGAGAGAATGATTGATAGGCTGTCTCCTGCACTCCCAACACTGAGGATGGAGCCTGCAACCTTGGCATGTGCCCTGACAGGGAATCAACTATGACCTCCTGGTTCATAGGTTACGTTCAACCACTCAGCCACACTGGCCAGGCTTCACCTTTTTTGTATCACCCACCATATATTGTACATGAATAGACACTCGACGAAAGTGTAGGAAGCAAATGATTGAAAGAAACACTTAGGGCCAGGGAAAGGCCAACATAGAAAACATTTGCCACCCATTTCTTTCCTCCTTTGGATGAAAACGAGATTCCATTGAGAAATCTTGAAGTCTCTAGTGCAGTTCAAGCTTTCAAGTATATGGCTGAGAGGAAGTAAGTAGAATCCCAGGAAGATGTATGGAACCAGATAGACCCTTACAATTCTTAGGAAAATATTGGAGTGGGAAATGAAATGCTTGCTGCCCCGTACATGGTCTCACCGATTCCAGTGAAAAACTTGCTTGACTGTAGTTTAAAAATTTTAAATTATTGCTGAGTTGAGAAGTCATATTCAGTTGCTTCAGAGAAGATATGGCCTTCTTTCAACCTGAGAGTCATAGGCACCTGCCTTGGTGCTGTGTGTAGCTCTTGTGTTGAGGTGGATGGAGCATCAGAGCCCAAATTTTTTGATTGGGCCAGTGCTTGTCAGTGCTCAGGGAGACACCCCAGCAGAGGGCATTGCTTGCCTTCATCAGGTAGGTTTGTTTCTATGTGCAGATCTGCATTTCGGTTAGTGATCTATCTGTCCTCCCAGCTCTGTTCACGCGAGATTTCTGTATGTCTCACATGTCATCTTTGGCTGAGTTACGAACTGCTTGTGTTTATTGCCTTACAGACAAGGAAAGGACCACCTGTCCCGCCTCTGCCTAAAGTCACCCCGACAAAGGAGCTGCAGCAGGAGAACATCATCAGTTTCTTTGAGGACAACTTTGTCCCAGAAATCAGCGTGACGACACCTTCCCAGGTGAGTGCCTCATACAGCCGTGGGATGTCCATAAAGCAGCATGGCGGAGGGACTCTTGGGGCCAGCTCTAAAGGGAGTGGCAGAGCCCCAGACAGTTTGACTCCGTGGCTAGGGTGTCAGGATTGAAGGGTCTTAAGTTCAGTTCCATTCAAGGACACATAGCTGGGTTGTAGGCATGATCTCCTGTCCTGGTCGGGGCATGTGCAGGAGCTAACCAACGGGAATGTTTCTCTCCCTGTCTTTCCCCCTCCCGTCCACTCTCTCTAAAAATCAATGGAAAAGATAGCCTTAGGTGAGGATTCACAAAAAGAAAGAAAGTGGCAGATGTCAGGGCCAGTAATATAATTTCAGTTGCTTTTCTGGTTTGCTTGTCTAAAGCATTTTCAAGTACTTGAAAGTGCTCACATTATTTTTGTTTATTAAGATTATGTAGTACATACTTATTGCAGAAAAATGGGAAAGTTCTAAAAAGTGTAAAATGAAGAATTCTAATAATCACTTAAAACATACCGCTCTGACTTAGTCACAAATATGCTTTGACTTATTTATTTTAATCTTTCCCCCCACCCCCCACTCGTTATATTTTTGCCCACAATACTCAAATTGTATTGTTATGTACTCCTGACTTTTCTATGTAATCTCACTGAGCGTTTTTTTTTTTCATGCCATAGGATTATCTTTTTTTTTTTTTAATAAAAAAAAAAAATGTTTGACCAGCGTATTCTATCAGATGGATTTAGCAACCTCTGATTGTGACCACAGTTTGCTTTTGATTGTGACCACAGTTTGTTTTTGAATTTTCCATGATTTCACTTTGGTGAACATCAATATAAATAAATTCATGTTTGCACCTTTATTACTTCTTTTATATGATTTCCCACTAAAGAATAGGAAAATGAAGTTAAAGAGGTGAACATTTAAAGTCTTTTGCCCTTCAGCGGGCTTTAATGTATCTATGCACAGGATTTGGCAAATGGAACCATCAGTGTTGCCCTGGGTTTCAAAGCACCTGGTGCCGGTGCTCCACCCCTGGTTGCCCTCAGGGCACGGTAGACCTGTCTCTGCCAGGGGCTTGGCTGACCCCTTGTCTGGAGAATGGTCTTGACTTCCAGAGCTGCTCCTCCTGTCACCAAAGCCAGCTCTTTGTTTTAAGAGGGAACATCCCCAGTCATGCCAGTATCATTCCTCCCAGTGTTCTCAGGATCAGAAGTAATATTTACATTCTGCAAGATGTGTGAGTGCAAGACTTTAATGACTGAACACATCAATAGCAACATTGCATACAACAGCCTAATGATAGTCACATAGAATAATAGAAGTCATGTACTGACATTAGGGGGTTCAGGAGATAGAAAGCAGTGCAGTGGCAAATCATAATTTGTCATCTTTTGGGGGGCCATTTCTCAAGAGACACCATGCTTTGGGCTGATTTTTTTCCCTTCTTCTGTGTGAAATGCTGTTTTTGTGTGGGTTGCTGAATTTGGTAAGCTACCCAGGGTTTGAAATAAGATTGAGCAGGTCCTGTGAGGAGGGGAAATTGCATGTTTATCAGCACAAGGACAAATCATGCCTGTGGATACACAGATGCTGCCAGGAATAGCTGCCTGGAACCAAACAATCTTACTCAGCACCTGCTGGCACCAGACATTGCTGTGCTGTCTGTTTGCTAACAGCCCAGCTTCGTTCTCTGCTACAGTTTCCAGTCCAGAGTGTTTAGGGCGAAAGCATTCTTACTGTCATGTTGCTTTCACCTGGACCCTCTGAGAGCATCCCCCCAATTGTATCACAAAGGGAGAACGTGGCTCACCTAAGGGCATCTCCATCAGCAGCTGAGGCCGCTGAAGTAGAGAAGACATAACACGTGGACCAGTCCTGAAAGAAAGATGGGGTTCAAGCAGTTTGAAATGTGTTTATTTTCAGTTTGTCGGCTCATAGATAAGGGTCCTTCATGGGGAGGAGGGGAAAACCGTCCAAGCAGTTTTTAAAATTACAAATCGCTGAAGAGGCTGCTAAGTACTTCTGAGAGCATGAACTTTCACTGGTATCGCTGAGTGAGTGTGCTAGGAAAAGTCAAGAGTTGGGAGAGAGGGACAGCAAGCACCTTTCAAAACAACCTTCTCTGGCTGCTGCTGCAGGGAGACAGTTGGCTGGTAGAATACTTGTGGGCGTGGCCAGTCTTTGTGCAGACTGCAAAGTTGTTGGGAAGGGAGGGATCTTATCAACCTGCCAGGCGATTTTTTTGCAAAAACTACCTTCTGGAGACATTTGGGGGGGGGGGGGGGAGAGGTCAGTTTCCTTTATATGATTTTGTTTTAACATGGGGAGGAAGCAGAAAGGCATTTCTGTCATTTTTTCCTGAATCTGAGAATCAGCATGGCTCTAGCAGGTGGATACATGGAAGCATTTCCATGGACTCGGTGGCTGTTAGTCTCATGGCATGATGTCAAGAGGAGGAGTGAAGCAAAGTGTCATATTTCCATCTAGTTTTTAGCTTCTTGAGTGAGATAATCTAGTTTATTTTAAATTTTACAGGTGCTGACTTTCCATGAAGCATGCTAACAATTCCCTTCCTTGCTTATTCCTTGGTAGATACAGATACAGCCATTTTGTGTTGCTTTCGCCATTTGGGTCCCATCCGGCAGTGTCTGATTTATCAGATCTGGGCTGGGGCCAAGCACCTGCTTTTCTAACAAGCTCCCAGGTGATGCTGACACTGCCGGTCTTAAGATCACATGTGAGAACCACTGTTTCACAGCATCGGGATTCCTTCCACATGATGCCATTTTGTACCACAGCAAATTAACAGATTTCTTCCAGGGCATAAGTCAGCTGGGTCAAGTTGGACCATTTACAATTGTCTATTTAAATATAATGTGACTTTACATGTCTTATACCTAGAGCGGCTGGATTTATACACGTGTACATGTGTGCTTATGATATTAGGTACATTGATCAGATTACATGTCAAGTTAAATATTCTAAGTGAATGGATTATCTAATCAGAAAAATAATGTTTTTAGACATGCACAGAGAAATTATTCAAAAATAAACAGAAATCTCAGGAGAAAATGAGATGCCCGTTGCCAAGAAGCAGAGTATTAAAGCTACGAAGCTGAGATGTACTGAGAAGGTTTTCTCTGGACACATACATTCCATTCCTGTGATCTTCAGGTCATTATCCCTGTTTCAGAGATGAGCAAATCTGTCATCTTTCTGAGACACTATGTGGCTCCAGGGCAGACATAAACAGGCAACTCCTTTTTGCTCTTTGTGTAATTCTATCAAATTATTCTTTGATATGAGTGTCTTAAGGTATAATCTCAAGATGTAGGGGGAAAAATAAAACAAATATACATTGAGCCTGAAAAAAATCAGCTACACATTTCAAGGACAGCCAAACTAATATTATGGCTATTTGATAACACTTTTACATAGCTATACATGATTACTAATAGTAATTAACTACATTAGTTTCCATTTCCATGTTAAGTATATCCTATATTTTATGTACACTGTATTTGTTGTCTCTATCACTCATGTTAATATTAATGGATAAAATTATTTTCATTGTATGTATGAAGCTCAATGAAGCTGAATTAATGGCTCAGAGAGAGACAACTACCCTGTTCCCCCGAAAATAAGACAGTGTCTTATATTAATTTTTGCTCCCAAAGATGCACTAGGTCTTATTTTCAGGGAATGTCTTATTTTTCCATAAAGAAGAACACAGTACACATTTATTGTTAAATGAAAATAAAGGAAATTTATTACCTGTATACGGTACGGTAGTATGGTAGTTGTCAACACAAACCAGACAAACTATGAATCCTACAGTATCAAGAATTTACTCATTTATTCAATGACAATCATGTCATTATCTTCTGGAACATCATCATAGCAATCCAATTCCTGAATTTCCTGGTGAATTTCTTGTGACTCCATTTCTTTCAGAAACAGTGGACCAAATCTCTCATGTGTAGCCTGGGGGGGGGGGGGGGCTTATTTTCGGGGGGATGCCTTATATTTCACTCAAAAGGAAACATGTAAGTAGGTCTTATTTTCAGAGGATGTCTTATTTTTGGGGAAACACGGTAGTAAGTGGTAAAATTGGGCTACAGATCCAAATTTATTTGTCTCAATCAATGGCTCAGCATAACAATTGCAGTCTAATGCCTCTTTCCACCCATGATCTCTAAATTCCCATTTGAGCCTCCTTAAGGGGCTCCATTAGATTCCTAAGGGACTTGGCTGTATTTGTGCAGCCTGCAATCTTATGGAGGACTCACAGAGCATTGAGAATTCCTCCTGCAGATCTTGAGGGTCCCTGTTTGAGAGAGGTGGGGCTGGATCTCAGGGGCAGCTTGGAAGAGCATGGGAGTCACAGGTATCTGACTGCTGTCCTGATCAGCGGCGTTGCAGATGGGGGACCCAGGGCAATATATAACTTCCTTCAGTTCAGTCTCCTCATCTTCAAATGAGAAAAAAGATGCTATTTGTTCTTCAATTTTTTGTAATGATTAGATAAGCCAGGTAAATTGCAGATTGGGGAATAGGGTAAAGTAATTTTTTTAAGGCAATAGTGTTATTGTCATCAGACTGCAGCAAAGTGCATGAACACAAGTTAGTTTTTTACCACAGGGCCTGTCTAGCACATTCTAAGTGTAATATGTGTTTTCAAAATGTTAAAAATGTAATTTGTACCAATATAAAAGTTGTGACAAAACTCATGCAGACTTTGAATAGGGGCCAAGGGAATCAGTTGACAGTTTTGTGGCTGTAACTCGTAAAGAAAGAGGGATGGATCTCAGTAGAGCATTATCCTTGTGAAATTTAAAAAAGCATAAATGTGAGGAGTAATCATGCTGGAAAACAGATAACTCAAGAAAGAGCTCAAAATCAACACCATGATGTTTAAGCAGATTTTCTTCTACAATGAGTGTAAACTAAAAAATATACATATATTATCTGCTATGGTCCCAAGCTTTCCATACATTCCTGAGTTAAATTTATTTTATGTTTATGACCAGTTTTAATTAAAATAACTCCTGCTCTTTTAAGTTTTTCTCTAAACAGCTGTTCTTATATAATACTTTATCCATTGTTGTGATATTTCAGTTTTTAGACAACAGATGGTCAAAATTGAAGTTTATATGAAATATCAAACACATGTAACTTGAATTGTGTGAAAACCAATTTGAATTTTCTTTACCATGTCTAGTTTATGGAGACTTTATTTCAGTTCTGCCTCATACTGTGTAACTTGAGCTTGAGTTAGGCCAACTTCAATCCCACATTGTTTTTCCTATATCATGATACTATAATAAATGAACAAATGTTAATATTTCTTTCTATAAGTTTTTGCTATTATCATAGTAGGACTTTAGTTCTGTGTCCTATTTGACTTATCGTCTCTCTAATCCAAGAATGTTATTGGGCTAAGAGCTCATTTTGTGATGAACACTGATAGTCCAGAAAAACAATATTATGGATGAGGAATGGATACATGAAAACTAACTCTGGGGATAGAGTACCGCTGAGGATGAGCCACTGGGGGTAGGGTACCCTGGGATGTGGTCACAGTAGACAATGATCCCTTCCTTCTTCCTTTTAAAATTTAGGGGACATCATAGCAGTGAGTTACTGTGATGAGTTGATGCCTTGGCCCATTTTATCCATCCGATCATCTGTAATTATTGACCTGAGATGTAGGAACTAGCAGAAAAGAAGAGTCTTTAGGTCTTTATGGCAGTAGGGTACATATCTCAGACATTCTCTTCGTTGGTTGAACTTGGAGCTGGCAAAGGACAGCAACTGAAACCTGAGCCACGTTCCTGGGCATCGCAGGTTTTACTTGGCCAGAGTTGGTTATTTCCCCTTTCATCACATTTAGCTAGTGACTCTGGGAGCAAGTGGATGAGCCATCCTAAACGGTAAGCTACCACTGGAATATTGACGAATATTAGAGGATTGTGTAGGTTGTTTGATGAAGTTTTATCAGATTCAAGCTGTGCATGTTTTCTTTTGTTTTGTTTGAACAGAATGAAGTCCCTGAGGTGAAGAAAGAGGAGACTCTATTGGATCTGGACTTCGATCCTTTCAAGCCTGACGTAGCCTCTGCAGGTTCTGCTGGAGTGACCCACTCCCCCATGTCTCAGGTATTAAGTGGTTTGTATGATGTTGGAGATGGTATTCCATAAATTTTAATAAGCTTGGAAGAAAGGGTAAAATGGAAACTTTATCAATATCAGTTATTTTAAAGCTCCCTCTACCATTAGCTTTCTCTGTCCATTGAGCTGGAATAACCATGCATTCCAGTTTGCCCAGGAGTCATCTATCTCAGAGTAATTATTCAGAGTACCTTTGACGGTTCTGTCTTGGTGGCTAAGAAAAACAGAAAATCATTCAGAATACTTCCTTCTCAGAGCCCTTGATGTGCAGACAGCCAGCAGAAATCATTCACTTCCTCTGCCTTACTCTCCGGTGTTCATTACTTTAGTGCAGAAGGGAAAGTAGTTCTGCAGTGGATCCTGTGATGGTTAGTGGGTGAGATCCCACAGCACTTCTATCTGCAAGTTTGAATCAAGAGACGCCTCTTTTTATATCAACTCATGATTATATGGATCTAAAAGTTGTGGAACTTTGTGTAGATCGAGGACTAAGAATCTTTCAGATTCTTTTTTAAAAAAGGTGACCTTGGTTAAATCTTTAAAGTCTTGATTCTGGAGAAAAAGCATTACTGCAGCTTGGAAAGTTGCACAACTGCTCTGGCTTCCCGGCAGCCATCATGGAGTCACCACACTATGATCCAGCTCTAATCACATCTCTCCTCCTTTGCTAGAAGTCTTAGGCTGACGTAACACCAAGAACACAGCTGCTCAATTCTGTTAGCCTTCTTTCCCCTTCACTCAAAGTGATCTCCATTACCCATCACCTGACCCCATCTTTAAATCCATCTTCTTACTGCTAGCAGAACACTTCACCTTGTGACCTCTGCTGTGTGCACACAAGCGAACACATCCTTTCATGATCCTGAGGCTTGATAAGCATGACGTTTTACATTCCTGCCTTCCGTTGGAGAAAATACTGCGGCTGTCTGCTTTGTGCTGTTAGGAGCTGTGATTCTTAAGAGGCTATATAAAGTAAGAAAACATAAACCACCTGGATAATCAGAAAATGCTTATTAGATGCAAAGGAGTCCCTGAATTAATACCTGTGGTTTTCAGTGGAGCTATTTGCTACTTCCCTCTCAGTCAGTGTAGAGTAGATACTAACCCAGACACCAACCAAGCTGTGCAGAGAGCAGGCTCACACCAAGTGGGTGGGTTCAGTCAGAACCACAGAACCCACGTTCTGCAGATTCTAAAGGAGACATCTGGGGTCCCATCTGGAAACTGTCCCGTTCTTAAGATGGCAATGCCAGGCTCTCTAACTTGCTGACTCAAAACAAGTACATAAACATGGATTAGTTCTAGTTACAAAGGCATGAGCAGAAAAGACTGTGACTTAGCAATAATTCTCAATCACAGAGGACATCAGAAAAAGAGGTCTTTCTCCCTCCTCCCCCCCTTTCCCACACACACAGGGCAAGTCATTTTTAAAAATATTTTAATTGATTTCAGAAAGGAAGGCAGAAAGAGAGAGAGATAAAAACATCAATGATGAGAGAGAATCATTGACCGGCTGCCTCCTGCATGCCCTTTATTGGGGATAGAGCCTGCAACCTGGGCGCATGCTCTCTTTTTTTTTTAATTTAAATTCTTTATTGTTTAAAGTATTACATATCTCTCCTTTTCCCCCATTGACTTCTCCCCGGCCGCTCCCACTCCTCAGCACATGCTCTCACCCCCCTACTGTCTGTGTCCATGGGTTATGCTTATATGCATGCTTATAAGGTTTTTGGTTGATATTTTATGTGTCCTGACCGGTATTGAACTCGGGACCCCCAAACTGGCTAGGGCAGGGCAAGCCATTTTTTGAACCATATGTTGAATAATAAATAATTTTTATATTTAAAATTCCAGTAGTAAGCATAATGAATCCCTATGTTTGAGGATTATTTCCATGATTACCAATTACTTGAGCTATGTGTTATCTAATTCAACATATTGAAGAACTACTTTTCTGGGGTTCATGTACCATCAAACTGATCATAATGCCTCCCCTTCAGTTTGGTGTAGGGGAAAGAGGAACTAGCATTAGCAATAATTAGGATCTGCACATTTCCTCAAAGATGTGATCAACTGGCATCTAGATACCTTGTTTGCATCATTTAATTGTGTGTGTATTACAGTAACCCCACTCGCCATGTTTCAGATATAGTTTCCTACTGTGTAGCAAGAGGCACGTTGGTAGAACTGTGCTATCCAATATGGGAGCACGAAGCACATTTAGCTGTCTAAATTTAAGTAAAATAAAATTGTGTGAAATGAAAAAAAAAATGGTTCTGTGACACCAGTACATTTGAAGTTCACAGGAGCCACATGTGACTAGTGGCTATCATATCGGAGAGCACAGATAGGGAACACTGTTACCACCAAAGAGTGTCCTGTTGAACGGTGCTGTACTAAATACTTTAAAATGTTTATTGTTTTATTTCAAGAACATTTATCATCTCAGTAATTTTTACATGCTTGGGATTTGTATACTAACAGTATTTTTATCTGTTTGCTTTCAGACACTGCCCTGGGACTTATGGACGGTAAGAGTACTAAGAATTCTACATGTTGATGTATCTGGGTCCCTGGGAATTTAGAAACCTTGTTATATTTTATTTCATCTGTAATAGAAAGAGAGCCCAAACATTTTAAGTAATTATACAGTCCCCTGATGGATCCAGGTATCAGCACCAGAAATAATGGTGAGGAAAAGGTACCCATGTGCCAGACTCCTGAATGAGCAAGAGTTTGAGATGCCCCGTTATGCTTCTTCCTAGGGTTATTGGTGGCCAGAAGAAGTGCTGTAGTGAAGGACATGCACATTTGTTATTGCTTATAGAACACAAGAGAAATATAAATGGGAAAATGTAAAGCATTGGCTACCCTGCTTAGGAAACATTTTATTTTCTTTTTTTCTTCACCTGAGGATATTTTCCCATTGATTTTTAGAGAAAGTAAGAGAGAGGAAAAGATAGAGAGAAATATTGATGTGAGAAAGTCACATAGATTGGTTGCCTCCTGCATGAGCCCTGACCAGGCCCAGGCTTAGAAGGAGCCTGAAACTGAAGTACATGCCCTTGGATGGAATCAAACCCTGGACCCTTTGGTCTGCAGGCTGATGCTCTATCCACCCAGCCAAATCAGCTAGGGCCTCATTTTTCTTTTTAATGAAGCTTAACAATAAGAATTTGAGCTTTAGAGCCAGACAACCCTGGATTTGAGTCCAAACTCTACTACTGATAGCAATATGACTCTGAGCAGTTTCTAAAAGACTTCCAGCCTCAGCTTCTCTCATCTGTGAAGTAAGGGTAATGACACCTATTGCAGAGTGTTATGTGAGGATTGAGAGAGATATCGTTTGTAGAATATTTAGCCCAGTGTCTGAATATACCAATACAAGGTAGAAGCACAAGGATACGTGCTTTCAGAATTCAGTGTTGAGAAAAAGATGCAAACAGGGCTTGAGGTGGCAGCCTCTGTGGTATGAAATTGAAGATTGGTTACACTCATACAGAGCCTCACATCGCTCAGGCTAGTCTTTGTCTGCCCTGTCTTAGAACAGCCCTGGTCATTTGGTCTTTAGAACTCAACTTGAGTTTCATGTTTTCTTTCTTTCTTTTTTTTCTTTTTTTTTTTTTTTTTTTTTTTTTAGTGATACAGCAACAGGAACGTTTAAAAGATCTAGCTCTTCATGAGCCAGTGGTCTTCTGAAGTGGCTTTGCTACTTTCTTCCCTAAAAACAAAACCCTGGCTATCCCAGTTCCTGCCACAGGAGCAGGGTTATAATCTACATAGGATCCTTGAAGCATCATGGGAAGCTCTCAAGACAAGAGCTAAAAAAATGTTTGACTTGTATATTCACAAAAATGGATGCATGGATTAGCATTCGGGACATTTGAATTCTAGTCCCAACTTGGTGTTAATTTTCATGGAGAGTAAGAGGAAAATGCTACTTTTTTTGTTATTCCAGTATTTTGTATCTTTAGTTGGAGCTATACCATATTTTTCTTTCCCTGCCTGAAAAGGATATGGTGAGGGGGGAAGTATCATCCACGATGAATATTATTTTAGAGGGCAAACCTGCTAGAAATGGTAGAACTGACAAGATTGGGAAATAATAGCTCCCTGGACATTATCAAGCCATTTCTGGATCCTCTCCGCTCCCCAGTGTTGTTTCTTTGCATCCAGACAAAGCTCCTAGGATGGGGGGAGAATCTGAGGAGAATCTGCCAGGCAGTCAGAGTAGCTAGTATCAGATCATCCTCCATCCAAAACCCACCTCAAAGGCAGGACCACGTGCAGGCTAGTTGGGGAAGACTTTACTCTGGTATTGTGTCAGAGCAGACAGTGGTGGGTAATTTTGTGGTTGCTAGAGCTTGCTGCTGTTCTCATGCTTATTTATGTGAAACTTTGTATTTCGGAGTCTGCTAGAGCAATAGCTATAAAACATTGTTGGTACTAGAAAATTGCAGAGGCTTTCTGTATGTTTTAGTTGTATAATCTTCACAGTTTTGGGACCGAGTTCATTCCTATCACAAAATAATTTATAAAATTTCATCTCAAACCAGTGAAAACCACAGCCATTAGCAAAACATAGACTCTGGAGAGCATGGGATTTTAATGTATGAGCAAATGTTTTTCTCTTGCCTTACGATTTGCATTATTATTTATTTTTTTTTTACTCATGCAGACAAGCGCTGATTTGGTCCAGCCGGTAGGTAAATATCCAGAAAATTCTGGATTTTTAAAAATTGAATATGTATTGTATACATGGTATATTATCTAAAATGAGCTTTGTTTTCTTTTCTTGTGGCATTGTCAGTCACAGATTTAACCTTAAGCCACTTGTTTAATGTAATACTCTCTAGTTTTGTTTAACTGGTGCTACCCTACTAAAGAACTTTGTGTTTCTCATCAACTCTTGCCATGATCTGTTTCATCTTGTCTTCTTTTTTTCCTTTGCTGTTCTGCGTACTCTAAAGACTGACTCTTCAAAAAGTCTTTCCTTGTGTAACCTGATCATGGAGGAAACTCCAGAGAGGGGGTTGGCCGAAGAAATTCAAAGATCTCAGATTGACCTAGGCTCATTTTCTTGGGGCCCTCATGCTAGTTCAGAGAGATTCAGCCAGAAAACGACCTTCGCTGTGTCTCAGGAAGACTCTGCATGTCTCTCTGAAGCAGAGCAAGACATGGGATTACCCATCGGGATGTTTCCTTCGGCTGATGGGCACACTGTGGCCGAACAGGGTGAGCATGTCCCAGGGCCAGCCCCTCCACGTGGAGATGAACAACTATCCCCAAAGCCCATGCCTGAGGCCGAATGTGCCATTGTTGCTTGTGTGGAGACGGAGCAGCCTTATGACTTACCTGACTCAGAGATGCCAGCCATGGAAACTGGTGGATTCGTCAAAGAAAGTCAAGAAGATCTTAAAAAGTCAGAAGAAGAGGAAGAGAAAGAGAAGACAGAAGATTCTATGTGGGCAGGTGTGGAGACATGTGGAAAGGTAGACATTGGAGCTATTGCTATCAAGACACTAGAAGGTACAGAGGGATGTGAAGAGAAAGCGTGTGAAAGTACAGGAAGCAGGGTAGTTGATCTTCTTAAGACAATAGGAAAACGGGACCAGGAGACCTTAAAAATCAGTGAAGAGGAAACTAGGAACGATCTAAGAGTTAGGTGTAAGGAAATTGTAAAGACCAATGAAAGGTATTTTGAGAACATTGACATGTCAGAAAAAGACATGGCAGATGAATTTACTGACAGAGACAAAGTGCTAGATGAGAGGATTCAAATAATAACAAGTAATTGTGAAATTGTAGAAGGCTCTGGAGGCAAGCCTGGCAATCACACAGATTGTTTGAATCTGCCTCTCCAGACAGACTCTGTGCCTAATATTGAAGATGCCAGCCCTGAGGGAAGGGATTTATCTAGAAAAGATATAAAGAAAAATGTAGTAGGTCCTCCTAACCATGTTATGATATATCATTCAGCACTGGGGGGTACAGATGCTGAAGAGATTCAATGTGAGCCTGTATTACATGCACCTGAAGATGACAGGGATGGAAATCAGGCTGCTTATTTATCAATGAAACATGAATTCGCAGCTTGGTCTAGGACAGATCTTAATTATGCTCTGGAGATGAATGCAAACAGAAGAGACTGGTGTTTGTGTAAGGCAGAAGACTCATTAATAGAGGGGTCTGCAAGTACAGTAACTTGGAACTGTAGTCATACCATTAACTTGCCACAAATCGTGAAAACAGACTTTTGGGAAACAGATCCAGGTCAAATCTTGCAGCCTGCTTTGGATTCAGCAATAAATAATATGGATATATTGGAATTCTCTGGTAGACCAGATGGACAAGCAAGTGGATTTGCCAGTTGTCTTGATTCTTTTAACCACTGGTTTATCAGTGATATGGGAGGCTTAGATAATTGCTGGGAACATTTTGATACTACTGTAGTTGAGAGCAAGAAAGAATTGGAGGTGGACTTACAGGCAGATGTATGTGAGGGACAAGCCATTGATAGCTGCTGGGAACAAAACCAAGAGAAAGTTAGACTTTTGTCTCTGGGAACCTCCCAGAATGTTAGCACCGAGAGTTCTGCTAGTCCCCAAGATGATGGCACCAACAACTCAGATTTATCTGAAGATGAAATTGCTAATCAGAGATATGGATTGTTGTACCAAGAAATTGGGGATGATAAAGAAGAGGTACTTACCCAGTATGTAGTATAGACTAGACAAAGACTTCTGTAGGTTCTATTTTTCCTAATGTTTCCCTCCCACTTCATTGTCCATCACTGTCTTCTCTGAGGCCTGCCTATCTCCCTGACAGACTATCATTCTTGTACCTCTTACCTCCTGAAATCTGTGCAAACCAAACACAAATAGGTTGACCAAAGAAAGAAAGAAAGAGCGCTAGCTAGTTTGGCTCAGTGAATAGAGCATTGTCCTGCAAATGGAATGGTCTTGGGTTTGATTCCTGTCAAGGGCAATGGCTCAGGTTGTGGGCTCGATCCCCAGTAGAGGGCATGCAGGAGACAGCCAATAAATGATTCCTCTCATCATTGATATTTCTATCTCTCTCTCCCTTTCCCTTCCTATCTGAAATCAATAAAAATATATTTTAAGAGAAAGAAAAGAAGAGAAAGAACAAGAAAAAAAGAATGATTATGTTGGAATTAATGAAAATCTGTTTATCCATTTACTCTGTTTATTTTTTATTTTTACTGTTCAATTATGAAAAATATGTAGATCAGACTAACTACTATTTCTAAGTGGTTACCCCAATAAGTACACATGAAATGTTTCTATCCAAGCCTACTAAAACTGTAGAATTTAGGTATCAAAAAAAATCTAACAAAATGATGTGTTAGAAAAATACTAAAAATGCTTCTTTTAGATTCTATCAATAGCCTGGAAAAAAAAGAGCTATTTAATCCCTTATGGCTCTTCTCCAGAATAATCTCATTATTAAGCAAGTGGGTTTTTGTTAGCACTGAGCCATACATTAACAGTAATTATACAAATGCCTTTCTTTTCTTTTTCTTTTGTTCAGCCTATTTAAAATAATACAGTTCAGCCTTTTTACATTTCCTAAGCACTTATACCTCTTGTATTATTTTAAAAATTATGGTGGTCATTATTTTCCAACTTATCTAATGGGCATTCACTGATTTTACAAAATTGATGAAAAAATAATGTGCTCTGATTTCTATTTCTGTTTAGGCTTCTGATGGTTCATTTAATGGATTCACCCAGGTAAGAAATCAACTTGCTGGCAAAATCTATCATTGAGAATAATGCAGATTTTTAAAACAAGGACCTTAGTGTCACTGGTATAGCATAATGATTGTGTCAGCACAAAATTTCACTAATTACAAATTCAGTAATGGAAACAGTAGTATTCTCAGCATTGTACAGGTGTTTTGACTATTAAATGGAATATGTCCAATAGCCTAGCACATATTGAGTCTTCCAATGCTGTAGTTAGCTATTATTAATGACTAGAGGCCCAGTGCATGAAATTTGTGCATGGGGGTGGTGGGGTGTGTGTCCCTCAGCCCAGCATGCACCCTTTCCAATCTGGGATCCTTCAAGAGATGTCTGACTGCCCATTCGAGATCGGGCCTAAATGGACAGTCAGACATCTTTGACCACATGGGGGCAGCCATCTTTTGTGTTGGAGCAATAATCAATTTGCATATTACCTCTTTAATATATAGGATTAGCCATACTGTGGGCTTCTGCCTTCTACTGATTCCTCTACTAGAAACTAGAAGTTGTCCTGATCTGAGAGATCCACTAGATTCAACTGTTTGAAAAGAGGAGATGAGATCCTTTTGAACTGATTAAATTGGTCTTTAGAAAAATATACATTTTAGGAGCCTTTTTGTAAAGATTCATATGAAACATAGTACACAGAACCATCCCTCTTCAGTGGTTCTCCAGAAAGGAGCAAGTGGAAGATCAGCTATCATAGGTTGGCTCTCCAAGGCAGTATTTTTCTTGCAAATCGATGGGATAGGAGCCACAAGATGGACGGTCCCATTCACCATATATGTTCTGACAGATGCACAGTTGTAACCCACATAAAAGGCAGACCAGATGGCCATGGAGCTCATGGATTAAGGTCTGGAAACCTTGAAGGGAAACTTCAAACAGAAGCTTGTCTGTGATCAATACTTTTTTCTGAGAATATTAGACATGAAATTTTTCAAATTTTAACATTTAGAATTTCTTGATTCAAAAGTTTGATTACTTTCCCCCATGTTACCTATAAAAAGATAAAACCCACTCACACACACCCACACCAAAATACAGATACAGACAAACATAGAGAAAGGATTGTGTATCTCTTCCATCTGCATAAAACTCTTAAAAGTTTGAGTCATAAGAATTATTCATTTCTCATTTAAAAATTTTTATTTTTATCAGTTATAACTTAAAGAGTACAAAATTTTATGAGGGATTTTTTTTCTTTTAAAAATATTTTTATTGATTTTAGAGAGGGAGGGAGAGGTTTAGAGAGAGAGAAACATCAATGATGAGAGAGAATCATTGATCGACTACCTCCCACATGCCCCTTGAGGATTGAGCCCACAACCTGTGCATGTGCCCTGACCAGAAATCAAGCTTTGATCTCCCAGGTCACATAGGTTGATGCTCAACCACTAAGCCATACAAGTTGGGCTAGAAGATTTTTTTATTTAAAAACTTCTGATCACATTCCCTCTCCATTTCCTGTTTCTTAGAGGTAAATATTTCACATTTTTTAGAACAGATTCTCTGGTTTCACATCCTCCATCCCCTCCTCCTCCCCATATGGATACATGGCTTTCTTATAATGCTACTCTTTGATTTCTAAAGCATTATCTATTGACTCATTTCTATGGAAGGTAAGGACATAAAAGCACTTTCATCCTCCTACCTTCCCAGTTCTCCCCTCCCCTCTGCTTCATGCCCTTCCTCTGATATTCTGCCACAGCCATCCGGACAATCTGTGGCAATATTATAATTAAAATATAAATGCTATTAGTGTCCAAGTCTTTAAGTTATGATTAATCATTAACCTGTAGAAGTCACACTTAGGTAAGATAATAAGATTGCGTTTCCAACATTTAAAAAGTTTAAATGTGTGGTTCAGAGCCACTAAATTCTAAGTCAGTAAAAATGTCCAGAGGACAAGCTGGAGACCAAAGACACCCTGTGGACACTGCCCTTTACTTAATGTCTCTCGTGACAGCCTCATCTTCTGCTAGCTCAGATTTATGTTTAGAATAAATATAAATTTATATTTATATTTATTAAAATTACTCTTCATTTTTTGCTTTTCTGATTATAATACCAGTACAAAGAGACTTTTAAAAACTTTATAGTGTGCTTATTGACACAGTTGATGAAAACTAATTTAAATGATAAATTTGTTAATATTTTTTTAACACATTAGCTAGAACCTTAATACTTTTAATATTGAATTTTCTCCTTAATTTTCAGCCCCAGGACACTTCATTATTCACAATGCAGACAGACCAGAATATAATCTGTAACTTGGTAAGTTGATTTTGGTTTGTGTTTTGGGGAAGTTGATAGTTACTACCGAATGTTCTAAGGTTGATAAATCTAAGTCATCTAGAGCTTGAATATTCAGAATGTAGTTTCTACAGCCCCTCTTTTTTAGGAAATAGGAAGGAAGGCTTCTGAAAAATCTCAGTGTGACTTTGAATGTGACTGCTTCTATTTATAAAGGCACAGTGATTGCACAAATCCGGTCTCCTAATTATGAGCTTCAGTGGGACGCCATCAATCCATCAAGGACATGGATGTTTCCGCATGAATATAACTTAAGCAACAGGATTGAAAATGAAATCAACTCAGGAATTCATGTTTCACAATAGATCATTGCTTTTTCTTGAACCTGAAGTTACCTCATTTCTTACCTCCTATCTTTTTGTGAATTGTAGAAGTAATGCATAGTAGAGATGTGATTCCTACTTTGACAAGAGATGAGGTGACAGAAAAGATTAGCTAGAGAGTGAGTAGGAAGCAGTTACTCTTGATATTTGAGGAAATCCTACATGGTGGACATTGCAGTGAGCATTTATAGCTCAGTAATAAAGTTAAATGAAGAAATTTGAGTTATATCACTTGTTTCTCATTGATACTCTACAGGGAATTTTGCATCTTTGAGGATTAGTGCACAGGGCTATTTGTAGCTCACTGGTTTTCCAAGGAAAAAGTGTATAATTATCCCAGCTCCTGGCTTTTACATTGGGAGCTTGGAATTGGATTTGAGTAGAATGAATTTTTGGTTTTAGATTATTATACTGCTAAGTAAGGAATTCTGTTCTGAGAAGTTTGTCATAACAGTTCATTTGATATGTTTCCAAAGGCAAGTGTGTCCCTAATAGGATTGTCATATTTCTGCCTTTTGGGTAACCAAATGAAACGTAGAGTCTGTGTGGCTTTCAAATAAAGATTGAAATATTTAAAATACAAATTACATTGGTGTTAATAATGGCACCAGAAAGAGTCATGTTTTATGTTTATTGGCGGTTCTCAGCCTGGGTGATGATACTGATACTGGAGGACGAGATTTTTCACTGTCAGTTGTGAATGGGTTAAGAAAAAAATGGGGAAATATTGGTATAAAGGAAAGACAATGCATCATAAACTTACACCTATTACTTTGATGCCCAGCTGGTGTAGCTCAGTTGTTGAGCTTCAATCTATGAACCTGGAGGTCACAATTCAGTTCCCAGTCAGGGCACATGCCTGGATTATGGGTTTGATCCCCAGTAGTGGGTATGCAGGAGTCAGCTGATCAATGAGTCTCATCATTGATGTTTCTATCTCTCTCTCCCTCTCCCTTCCTCTCTGAAATCAATAAAACTATTTTTTAAATTTAAAAAAAAGGCCAGTCATAGAATCCAGTGGTTTTTAATTTTCTCTGAGCATCTTCCTTCTGCCAACAGCTGATTCAAGGAGCTTCTTGCCCCCCTTCCCTGCTCTTGATATGTAGTCTCTGAAGCAGGTATCTTGCACCTTCTTTCCACTGGGAAACCCAGCTTGTTGTGCCCAGCGTTTCATGTGCTGCAGGCACTGGCTCTCCCTATGGGAAACTAGGAAAGCACAGTGAACCTACATCTTCTGGTGAGATGTGATTATACAGGATGTTCCCAGGAACAGGACAGGTTCCCAACATTTGGTCATTGACTGTTCCAAGCGAGGTGGAGGTTGAAGTTGGTAGTCAGCGGCACCCCTTCCAAAGCCTGCATTGCACAGCCCCACAGCACATTCTTTGAGATGTTGGTTTCAACCCTTGGAATCTGTCCACTTTGCCAGGGGCTCAGAATTACCTCCTTGGTTCTTTGCAGTTCTCACCACGTTAGTTCTCCCAAGATCAGAGAAGTAAGACTAGAAGACAAATGACATATTGGAATGTGACTAGACTCTTAGGCCCACTCTTTGGTCCATCCCTCTTCCTCTGCATCGACTCACCTTCCATCTTCTCACAGAGGAGATCAGAAGGTGTGGGCCAAGTTTACACTACTAGTTTTGTTCTACAAGAATATTTCCATTTCTGAGACTCTGAATTAAAGCATTGTGGCATTCTGCTGTCATAATAAATGTAAAGAGTATCCTCTTCTTTCATGTATGATGATGGCTAATTGAGCAAATGATAGGAAATCATTACCAGTGCTCCAAACTGGGGAGGGCAAGGATTCAACCCATTTGCAATGTCTGTCACAGGATGCAGCCTTACAAGAAAGGGGTTGAACATGGGCACGATTCTGAAGACTGTTTTAGATCTTTTTCTGAGACATCATTCCTAATTTGCCTGGGTTTTCCTTTCTATCTTGACAAAATATTTACAATTTTACATTACCTTAGAAGAAATCAAAGGGCAACTTGTGTTTCCAAAGTTGAGTAGCTGATTTTATGTACAATCGTGTTGTATCCTGTTTCACCCTTACTCATCATTCGGTTAGTTATAATCACTTACTCCCCTGAAATTTAGGTGTTGAGTGGCAATGCTATATTGTAATACCTGGTGTGACATTATAGGGGAAATGTGACTTGTGGAGACATATTTGGTTCTCCATCCTCTTCATGATATACTCCTGTTGCATTGTTTGACCTCAGCATGCAAATGCAATTCAACTCGTTTATACTAGTAAACTCACCTTACTTACCTTGCCTTACACAAAACATCAAAACTACTTCAGACTTCCAAGAAACCCAGGCTCTGATGCAAATCGTTTATTTATTTTAAGCTATCTTAATTTTTATTTTTAAGGCACACAGTACGCATTTAACTCATCTTTTGAAACTTCTCTTGGCTCCGTAAAGGGCTTCAGACTTATACATCTCATATTGTAGAATCAGCTCCCGGGGCACAGCCCATCTGCATGTGGATCGCTTGGTGGTTTGTCAGGTCGCCCTGCCTGTCCTTCGTGTGTAGGCCATTGGATAGCGTACTCTTAAAGAAAATCATCTTGTCTTACAGTATCTGCTGCTATGCAAACTTGTTCCATTATGAAGATAATTCTTTTGAGAGAAATCTTTTTCCATAAAGAACTCCTGAGTGTATATTAGTTGAATTTTATTTTACTCTCTCATAAAAATTGTATCAGAATGCCTCTGAAAAACACATAAAATATCACATTTCTGCACACTTATCTACCAATGTGTCCTTCCTTTTATTCTGCCCTTTAAAGAGAAAGGCATTGTGATCTGGCATGCATTGAAGTAGAGGATGTGGTGGGGACCAAAAGACAAATAGCTTGTTTATCTAACATTAAGCTATTCATTATTCATTTCCTCTAATCTCAGCATAACTTCCCCATCACTTCCCTGTGGAACTTGTCTTGATGAGCTTAGGTGGGGGCATAGAACTAAAGGTGACCTTTGATTGCTTATGGTGAGTATCTGACAGAGTTACTGATTTCTCCACTCAGAGTACTAATGGTGACTTCTTGGTCCTCTAAAAAACACTCTAAAACTCTTACAGTTTAAATGTTTTGATGGGGAAAAAAAAATCTTAATGTGCCCTCAACTGGCCACCCATGCAGTAAAAAAGAGTCCTGCTAGATAAATATGCTTATTTTTATTAATCAGAATTGAAAAGGAGAACATTTTCAGTAGCCATAGTAACATGCATTGGCTATGGTGTTTTTAATTGGCCCATTATTATTTAATATTGCTAATTTTAAAACCAAAGCAGTCTAGAGCTAAGAGACTGTAGGAGCTGGAATCGGGATGATGTCTTTGCATAGATTTCTACGCAACAGAGATGAAAGCCTCCCTGTTGGCCACACAATTAGAAAAGTCTAATTGATACCACGGAGATTACTATCATGTGTAAGTTAATGCATTTGGATTTACATGTTGGGATGACTGCTCAATTTTCTGGTGTAATGCCTATCGGTAGGTTGGGAGAGGTCCCAGAACTGTGTGTGCCCTGTGAGCTCTTCCTCACTTCTTCCAGCTGGCAATGGTGGCTCCAAAGACCTTCTCTCTCTCTCTCTCTCTCTCTCTCTCTCTCTCTCTCTCTCTCTCTCTCTCTCTCTCTCTCTCTCTCTCTCTCTCTCTCTCTCTCTCTCTCTCTCTCTCTCTCTCTCTCTCTCTCTCTCTCTCTCTCTCTCTCTCTCTCTCTCTCTCTCTCTCTCTCTCCTCTCTCTAGCACTCTAGCATCTCTTATAGATGCCATAGAAAGTCAGTAGCCAAAATGTTGTAAGTAAAATGAATACCCAAAATGGTAAGTCTTGGGTAAGTCTATCTTCAAGGGAAATGACAGTCTTTGGTGATGGTAAAAAAGAAAAAAAGGTTGGCAGTGTCCATTCCTAGATTTTTCCAGTTCTGTAAAGGACCATGATGCCAAGTGTAGGGCTTTTTCCCAGCACCGATTTGGTGAAGCTAGTTGCCTGTGGGACGATAAAGGAAGTCTTAATTGTCCAGTATTCTGTACTGCTCTCTATTCATGTGTTACATCTTTTTCCTCTAACCCTCAAAACAAACTGAAAGGCTGAGTCTGAACAGGCTCCACCAACAGAGCCGAAAGCAGAGGAGCCCCTGGCCGCTGCACCTGCTGAGGACACCCAGGCTGAAGAGCCAGAGGGGGCAGTGGTGAGCACCACCTCCCTCCCACCCAACGCCAGCGACCCGGCCACAGCCCTGCTCATCTCATGATCCCATTTCTCCCTCTCATCCATGTTTCATTTGAGCTAAATCACCTCCATACCCGACATGTCTCCATGGGTTCAAATAACCTTTGTTCCTTTGACAGTGAAACTCTACTTTCTTTTATTTTTGAAAAGAAAGACATCCAGAGAACTGATCTTTTCTACTTTCTTTAAAAAGGAAGGGTGCCTTGATTCTTTCTGATACTCTCCCATTCGTGGTAGGGAGGTTGTAGAAAATGCAAATAATCAAAACTATTAATGCAGTGCTCTACCTTTGACTGCTAGAGATGTGCCTTCAATTAGAGACCAACTTGCAGATATATATGATAATGATAATAATTTTGTTGGTGTGTCTACAGATTGATTTCTTAAAGTATTAGCTGTGTAGGGTGGTTAAGGCCAATGAAAGATCAAAATCCACGAATCTATAAGGATTCCTGTGTGTACAGAGTTGCTCACAATCAAGTCTGGTGCTGTCTCTGCTCCATGCAACCATATACCACACCTCATCACAAACTGGGACGAGCTCTAGATGCACCATGTGGAATTGGATTGTATAACACCTGTGAAAGCATAGACTAATACCAAGAAATTTTAATTTGAAATACCAATGGAGAGTGAAACGCTTAATTATGAAATGCAGTTAAATGTTTCCCAAGACTTTTTTCATCGGGGTGCTGTTTACAGAATCTGTACAAAGATGAAAACCAGTCTCCCTGTTTTCCAACATTACATGGCCTGGGTGAAATAACGAGAGAAATGAAAGGGATGTTTCTTGCTATTGGTGTTCTAGGTAATTTTGCTGGGAAAAAGAGTACATCATCTACCAAATCTACAGTTCATTAAATAGCAGAAAAATAAACAATAGGGCAAGATAGTGATGGGAAATACAAATGAAGAATGACTCAAGAAACATACTTTTATTTTCCATTGAAAGACATAGACTGGACCAAGTCCTGGAGGAGAAACAGAAATGCCTTCTGCTAGACTGAGTTCCTCCTGGAGTGCCTCTGGCCGGACTTAGACTGGGGAGTGCTGATTCCCTGCTTCTGAACTGTCATTCTCAGAATCACAGAGATCTCAGTAACCCAATGCCAAGGGCGCATTTTCACCTGGTGCCAGAATAGGATTTTGTCCACCCACCTTAGCCTTAACAAAGGAAGGGAAAGACACAGTTGGATTTTTTTTTTCTATGGTTTAATTAAGAAGAGAATTGATTTTAAACATTCTATGGAGCCTGGTTGGTGTGGTTCAGTGTTTGAGCATCAACCTATGAACCAGAAGGCCACGGTTCGATTCCCAGTGAGGGCATATGCCCAGGTTGTGGACTCGATCCCCAATAAGGGGTGTGCAGGAGGCAGCTGACCAATAGTTCTCTCTCATCACTGATGTTTCTATCTCTCTCTCCCTCTCCTTTCCTCTCTGAACTCAATAATATATATTAAAGCATATGGATGATATCAGAGACATAAGGAGATGTTGGATAGGTTCAGATATTGATTTATAAATTACTTCAATTTTGAAAAGTTCTCATTAAATCTTTATTTTGAATAGCAGCCCAGGCTTCATCTTCACCTGTGCTTTTAAACCACATTGATTCCATGCCCCAGACTATTGGATGTAAGGCTTACTGTTCATAATGCCCATGATTTTGTACAAGGGTATTTGATGTTGTGCAATAGATTAGAGATGTGAAATAGACAAGTCCGTGTGTTAAATACAAGTTTGACAGTTGATTCTTCATCATCCCATCTCTTACCCATCCTAAGTTTTTATTTTCTCATAATCCAAGTTCATTGTTTTCCCAAAACATAGTATTAGTAGCTACCAAGTACCTACTATATCATACTGACTATTATATAAAGATCTATAAACTTTTTAACCATGGGTGATAATTAAAATATTTAATAAACTTTATGGTACAACCATCACTAAACCAGCTTCCCTAATGTTTGGTACAGAGATGTTTGGAAGAATTCTTCATTCTCAAAAATCTTATCCCCTAAAGATAGGTGAACTTCAGAAAAATAAACATTTTAGATTCCTTGTGAAGTACAAGGCAAACTGGAAAGTCGTATGACGGATTCAGGCACCTGCTGAGACTCAGAAATGCTATAAGAACAGCATATACAGAGCTCACTATGTGAGCCACCCTCTCCAACGAGAAAATGCTTATTTTTTTCACCCTTGTATCTACTGAAAACTAATAAAATGGGGCAGCTTACATCAGTTCAATTTTCCTAAAATCATTAAAAATTACTCTCTTCCCTGTTTTTAAAATTGGCATCCTTGGATGAAGTCAATTCTTTCTCATGTTCTCTCTTCTATTTAAGAAAGTAACATCACATAGAATGTATTTTTGTTCTCTAATGTAGACTTACAGCTTTGTCTGGCCACAGTAACAGAAGGTACATTAAAAACTATTTTTACTAAGGAAGGTCTCTTCCATTGCTAGATGTGTGATGTTTGGTTATAAAACCATAAAAATCTCCACTGTGTCCCAAGCATTAATTAGGAGGCTGGCTGTGGCTGTCATTAGTCAGGATTGGATTGGCTTGGCCTTTCGAGGTCATCCTTTTTGCCGCTGAAATGTCACCACACAGTTATTACTTTGAGTCTTGACAGAATTCGTTTTATGCAAGGTGAAGTTTGTGGTGGTTTCTTTCTTTCTTTCTTTTTTTTTTTTTTTTTTTAAGGCAAATGTAATTTCAAACACAGAAAATTTTAGCAGTGGTTCTCAAAGAAACCAGGGGCTTTCAAGAAAAGGTTAGTTATTACATTTGTGTTTGTTGTTTTATTCCTCCAACAGCTGACATTGTCTTTAGTTTGTCCTATAAAAACATGTTACCGGTGTATCTGCAAGATGCATTTTAAAAACCAACACTTGCTACTTCTCCAGAGGGTTCCACATTCTAGAAGCAATGACCCCCCTCCCCCGTTGAGGTGGTTCTTACTTGTTACTTCAACAACCAGTCCTTGCTCAGTCCCCATCTCTTGAGTTTGCCTTGACTTTGCTTCAAAATGCACATCCACTTTTCCTACACACTTCTCCCACACACTTTGCAAATAGGTCCCCAGTGAAAAGGTTAATGTTTTAATACGTGTTGTTATTAGGTATTCTTCCATGACCTTAAAGGCCAGAATAACCAAAAATTCACTACCTGTGGCATTTCTGCAGCAGATCTGAATTTTTAAAGAAGGTCTGGAGTTAATGCTGACAGATGTTGCCATGACAACTTTGCCGCCAGCAGCAGAGCTGTGCTGGGATCTGGCTGCTGCGGGTTTATGATGGGGCTGCAGGCCATACCAGGAAAATAGATTGAAAAAGATGATTGAGATGAAGGTCGGGGGGGGGGGGGGGGGTGGATACCCACAAAGTTTCTTATTAGAAATGAAGCGCATAGATGTACCAAATGAAGTGTGTCATAGGAGGTTCTTTGAAAGGAACGCCAGTGGAGGCCGGTGTTTCCGGGGAGAACTCACCCTCCGGTCACACTGAAGGAAAATTATGGAGAGGAGGTCTAGCTGCCAGCCTGTTTTTATTTATTTATTTATTTATTTATTTATTTATTTAATTTTTTTAAATTAAATTATTATCTGTGTTCATATTTTAACGTTGCCCCCCTCCCTCCCATACATATTCTCCCTCCCTAGAGTTTTGTGTCCATTGGTTGTACTTATATGCATGTATACAAGTTTTTCGGTTGATCTCTTATCTCCCCCAGATCTCCCTACCCTCCCAGCTGTAATTTGACAGTCTGCTTGTTGCTTTACTGTCTTTATATCTGTCTTTTGGCTCATCAGTTTATAATGTTCTTTATTATCCATAAATGAGTGAGGTCATGTGGTGTTTCTCTTTCATTGACTGGCTTATTTCACTCAGCATGATGCTCTCCAATTCCATCCAGGTTGCTGCAAATGATGAGAATTCCTTCTTTTTTATGACAGCATAGTATTCCATTGTGTAGATGTACCATGGTTTTTTGATCCAATCATCTGCTGACGGGCACCTAGGCTGTTTCCAGATTCTAGCTATTGTAGATTGTGCTGCTATGAACATAGGGGTGCATATATCCTTTCTGATTGGTGTTTCTAGTTTCTTGGGATATATTCCTAGGAGTGGGATTACTGGGTCAAATGGGAGTTCCATTTTCAGTTTTTTGAGGAAACTCCATACTGTTCTCCACAGTGGTTGCACCAGTCTGCATTCCCACCAGCAGTGCACAAAGGTTCCTTTTTCTCTGCAGCCAGCCTGTTTTTAATACAGGATCTTTTCTTGGGGCTGTAATGACCCTAGTTCTATGGTCGGCAAACTGCGGCTCACAAGCCACATGCGGCTCTTTGGCCCCTTGAGTGTGGCTCTTCCACAAAACACTACGGTCTGGGCGAGTCTATTTTGAAGAAGTGGCGTTAGATGAAGCTTAAGTTTAAACAATTTGGCTCTCAAAAGAAATTTCAGTCGTTGTACTGTTGATATTTGGCTCTGTTGACTCATGAGTTTGCCGACCACTGCCCTAGTTGTATCTTGGGCTTTTCTTTAAAATGGATCCTGAAGAAAAATGTGTAATTTTATACAATTGCTAGGATTTTCAGACAAGTCAAGAGCTCAAGTTGGATCCAGAATACGAGATAAGCAGCAAAAGCCAGGGCGGCCTGTAGCAACAATTCCCACTGTGACATGATCTTTCTTGGTTACATCCCAATAGGACTGTGGGGGCCACTCCAGCTCCAGTGCTAACTGGTGGAGGAATCAGAACTGAAACTCAGATCCCCAGCTCCATCTCCAGTGCTACTTCCCATTTGTCACATTTCCCCACTTGTAAAATGCAAGCATTGGGCCCTCGCTGGTTTAGCTCAGTGGATAGAGCATCGGTCTCAGACTGAAGGGTCCCAGATTTTATTCCGGCCAAGGACACATACCTTGGTTGCAGGTTCGATCCTGATGTGCCTCTCTCACATTGATGTTTCTCTCTCTATCTCTCCCCCTCCCTTCCATTCTCTCTAAAAACCAATGGGAAAATATCCTTGGGTGAGGATTAACAAAAGTAATAATAATAATAAAATAAAATAAAATGCATCGTGCTAGATGAGACCAGGGCCCTTCAGCTTTGGGCACATATTCACCGCTAACATATTCACCATAAACATAGCTGTGTGTGTCCAGGTACCGCCTTTCTAAGCATCCTCGGTTGTAACTCTGCAATACAATGGATAAAGCCAGGAGGAGATTGAGTCACCTTCTTTTCCATGTCCCCATTCTCTACATATCTTTCTAAACAATGAAGTCTAAGGGCCTCGTTGCAAAAATAACATAGTGAAAGTCTACCCAGCCAATCTCTTCTCAGTGTTTTTATCATAATTTGCTATTAACGAAGAGGGATTTTATGCTTGCTTAGATGCTCAGATGCTACATGTATCTGAGTGAAGAGAGATTTTACTTATAATCTATGAATCTCACTTTGAGGAGCAGCATTCCCAGTGTGTAAGTGCATGTGCTGGCTGTTGGTAAGAACACACTTGAGCTCTCTCTCTCTCGAACGCCTCTTGTTGTTATTGGGAGTTGCCAGTAGGAAGCAGCGGGTCCCTGGAGGCACTCCGGGTCTCAAGATCCCTGTGGAACTCTGATTGTTGACTTGGATGTGGGTTGGTGTGAAGAAAATCACAGAATTTAGAGTTAAATGCTTCCAATTCTGGTTTACTGGCTGTGTGAGTTACTTCAACTGTCAGTCTTATTTGACTTGTCTAGGAAATGGGGATACGATCCAATAGGGTTGCTGGGTGAGTGATGTGCTGTGAATGTCAAACACCTGGGAGATGCCTGAACAGCTGTAGAGTCACAGTCAATGTCAGTTTCCCTCAAGGGCTACAATATATTGAAACTGTCAGGCAGAAGCCTGGCTGTGGCTCAGGAAGATCACACTCATTTTGGGGGCACATTGGAGAGCTCAGAATTCAGTGATCTTTCAGCTGAGCGCCTCTGCCAAGAGCAAAGGTCAGAAAACAGATGCTCTCTGCCTCTGTGCCCTTTAGCCATGGAAGAACCATGTCTTAGCTAAAATTTAAAAATATACATATCTTGTATTCTCTCCTTATCACTTGTGGCATTTACCCTAGGAGAATTTTAATGAAATGAAGTGCATCCAGGGCACACATATTAGTAAATGAAGGTTGTATGAGAAAACTGAAAGTATTAAAGAATAAATCACAAAAATGATATCAGATTCACTCTGACCAACTATGTTTTTTTTTTTTTCATTTTAATGCTCGTCATTAAATATACAAAGGAAGTAAAAACTTTAATAGTACCATGTTCTAGAAATATTAGGCAAGCCTGGGAGAATTTTTCACAAACCAAGGCATGAAATGGTTCTTAAAGTATAATAACTAAGCCTTGCATGGAGAAGTATGTGAAATTTTCACCCATCCCCACCCGGGATAGTAGACAGCTGGCATCAAGGGCCGCCCCCTTAGTGGAGAGGCAGTTTTCTGACGTGATTGCCATAACTCCATCACTTCCCACCAAAGAGACTGTTGAAGCTGAGTGGTAAAGCAGTCAGATCTGATTGAGAAAGTGAGAATTGCTCACCATTTCCAAGATGGCTCCCCGCTGACCCTTGTGATTTGCAATAGTCTGGGACTTGAGCACCCAAGTAAACACGTGCCTAAGGGCAGCTAGAAAATGTTTAAATTCCTCTTTGCATTACACGTTTTCCCCTATAAATATATTTGGTCCACAGATAGTATATAGTTTTGGCAGAAGATAAGATAATGGTGTATCTCTTAACATTTGGAGTGAGGAAGAAAAGACAATAACATTGAATAACAAAGGCTTGAAATACTTTGCATGGGGTTTCAGTCCCCTGGTCTCCCTGAATAATACATTAAAAAATAGTCATGAATCATGTTTTTCCTAGCAGGTGTAACATCTACAGTAGCAAGGAAAGTCTAGAAAACGTGTTTTGTTTTGTTTTCTTTTCTAAATCTACAAATAGTTAACACACTGGAATGCATAAATATAATAAGAGAGGAATAACCCTATTACTAAAATCTTTTTCAATCTTGCCTTGATTTTATCTAGAGTTAACACTTAATCTGAGCAAAAGGATTCTTGTTTCGCATTGTATTTTAATGTTGTTCTATTATTGCAGCCAGTAAATATGCTGTGGAAATACTTTGGTAAGAGCAGAAAATGTGGCACAGATCCCAGACATAAAGGGATAATTGGGCACCACTGATTATCAGAGCAAAGCCAGAGGCAGAGAGAGAAGGGGATCTAGGCAGTGGGCACGCCTCCCTTTCTGCAGGGGTCTACAGGCTCTGTCAAACCTGACTAGAGACATTAGTCATCACTCATGGACTCAGAGAAGGATGGAGGGCTGTTAGTTTCTTCCCTTCCCTAAGTAGGTCATTCAAATTGTTTGCTTTTTCCCCTCCCTAGTCAAGTGGCGGTTTCCTTGGCACCCTGACTCTACCAGCATTGTTAATGTCAATATTTTGGTGATTTTTATTTGCCATCATTCTTATCAACCGTTTTTCTGCATGTTTTATGTCCCTGTGTGTGTGAGAGAGAGAGGGAAGGAGGGAAAGAGAAAAGAAAGGAGGGAGGGAGGGAGGAAGGGGGGGAGGGAGGGAGGGAGAGAGGGAGGGAGGGACGGAGGAAGAGAGAGAGAGAGAGGGTTAGGGTTAGGGTTAGGGTTAGGGTTAGGGTTAGGGTTAGAGTTTTGCTCAGTGGATAGAGCGTCGGCCTGTGGACTGAAGGGTCCCAGGTTCGATTCTGGTCAAGAGCACATGCCCAAGTTGCAGGGCTTGATCCCCAGTAGTAGGGGGTGAGCAGGAGGCAGCCAATCAGTGATTCTCTCTCAGCATTGGTGTTTCTATCTTTCTCTCCCTCTCCCTTCCTCTCTAATCAATTATATATATATATATATATATATATATATATATATATATATATATATATATATTTCTGTTAACATAATATTAATTTTAATTCCCAAAGTAAAATATTGTATTATGGAAAAGTGTACTCTGCATCAGGTTACTTTTACATAGTCTATTGTCTGTAAATTTGAGTCAGAAGAAAGATTATATATATATATATATATATATATATATATATATATATATATATAATTGATTTTTTACAGAGAAGAAGAGAGAGGGATAGAGAGTTAGAAACATCGATGAGAGAGAAACATTGATCAGCTGCCTCCTACACATCCCCTACTGGGGATGTGCCCGTAACCAAGGTACACACCTTTGACAGGAATTGAACCTGCGACCTTTGAGTCCACAGGCTGACACTCTATCCACTGAGCCAAACCGATTTAAAAAATATATATATTTTATTGATTTTTCACAGAGAGGAAGAGAGAGGGATAGAGAGTTAGAAACATCGATGAGAGAGAACCATCGATCAGCTGCCTCTTGCACACCCCCTACTGGGATGTGCCTGCAACCAAGGTACATGCCCTTGCCCGGAATCGAACCCGGGACCTTTCAGTCCGCAGGCCGATGCTCTATCCACTGAGCCAAACCGGTCCCGGCCCAAACCGATTTTGTCAGAAGAAAGATTTTTAATGCTTTGCGATGAGCTGTAGGTGTGTGGTTTGTATTTTCCATCTCCCATTTCTGATGTCCATTCTGTGGGCACCCCCCCCCCACCTCCCTTTTCATATTCTGGGCCTGACAATTTAATATCTGCAACATTTAAGCTTTCCAGACTTAATAGGACAAACTGGGTAGAATTTATTTGATAACGGAAAGGACTGTCTAATGTTAATCACACCAGAAAGAAAAATCAATTTTTTGAAATATGTGCCCTGGGTACATTATACAAGATCAATCTAATACTCTGCTTCTTACTCAGTCTTTCTGATTTGAACCACTCAAATCAGATCAGCCTCGCTGACGTTCCTCTTGCTAAAGATGTGGACTCCACAACCAAGTTCTTCAAAATTAAACTTCTGACTATACTTTCTTCATTTCATTATTGCATGTTTTAAGCACTACTTAACCTTCCTCTTTTGACTGATCCAACCCCAGAAACAAAATTTCCCTTTTTTTCTATTATACTATTCCTAGTAAAGGACCCAAAATCTGATTTGACTTTTGATTATAATGAATATCTAATAGTAAATATGATTTTTATTCATTCCCAAGAAGTTTCATGAGAAAACTCCCTCATTCCCCTCCTTCTCCCCCCCATGACTGTGATTTAGCTTCCGGGACCTTCCCCATGCAGATTTTCAAGTTTATGCTGAAATGCAGTTTTTCTAAATTCTGACTTTGCATGGTGAGGAGGCTTTTCATTTCAAATGACTAAACAGAAAAGGCTAGTGGAGGGGACCCCCTCACACACACCTAGAAAGCCATGTCTCAGGGTTGGCATCTGTCCCTTCCATTCAAATTCCATTTGCTACACCTGACTGCAAGGAAGGCTGAGTGGGCGCCCAGGAAAAAAGAGGAGTTGGGCTGGCTGGTGTGGCTCAGTGGTTGAGTGTCAACCTATGAACGAAGAGGTCATGGTTCCATTCCCCGTCAGGGCGTATGCCTGGATTGCGGGCCTGATCCCCAGTGTGGGACATGCAAGAGGCAGCCAATCAATGATTCTCTCTCATCATTGCTGTTTCTATATCTCTCTCCCTCTCTCTCCCTTCCTTTATGAAATCAATAAGCATGTATATCTTTAAAAAGAGGAGTTGGAGTTTTGCCGAACAGTTGGCAGCCTGCTGGCTATACTTAAAGCCTGGGCCTTAGGACACTACAAAGAAAACTTCACAGTTTGATGAGCTTCAGCTGAGGGGAGAGAAGAGAGGGCTGAGTCTGACTCACTGAGACCCTGGAGACACCTGTTGGTTCTGGTTTGCAGATCCCACCTGGAACGGATGCTGATGTGACGGATGTTACCTCTGTGCCAGCAGCAGAGGGCGCCCCAGCAGAGGAAGCAGAAAAGGAGATGGAGGCAGCGCTCCCTGCTGGGGAAGCAGCAAGTTTAGAGGAGCCCAAGATGGAGAAAGAAACTGCAGAAGTCCCAGACAGTGACAGATGTCAACCAGAGGAACAGGAAGCAGCAGCGCCTCAGGTAAGTGCCCGGTGACATGGAGGTGCTGGGGAGATGTGCCCGTGGGAATGCTCTGTCTATTGGTTAATGGCCATAACTCTTGGATGCTGAATAGGTTTGTAGCCATTTTGTGAATGCTGCTTGGTATTCTGGGGTTCCACGCAAGCCCCCAGGGTTACGGTGACTAGGCTGAAATTAAGCACAGGTAGAGGTAAAGGAAACTATGAAGAAAAGAATGAAGCACAGATGACAAAAAAAGAATGGAGGCAGGAGAAAGGGAGTGTAATAGACTAACAGGGTGGCTGTGTGGATTATGTAAGAAAAAGGCCATAAAGTGCTTAGCCTGGTGCCAACCACATGGTGAGAACTCCAGTAGTAGTCATTAAATCACGTTACTATGATTATTTGTGGTTTTTGTTATCAGAGTACCTCCACATTCACCCCACATTAGGCTTCTTTTACCAAAAGCCCATCCTTAGGTTGCACGTTCAAAAGGAAAATTGGTCACGTGAGCCTTTGTCCTCATATGTGAAGCTGGGCTTTGCCCCAGGTCGGGCTTTCTTAGACACGTGCTCAGAGGCAACAAAGCCCCTACGCTGTGACTGTGGCCTCAGGCCCTGGGGCCAGAGCAAGCACAGCTCCTCACAACCCCGTGCCAGGATCCTCTCCCTTCTAGAAGGTAACAGAGAAGAGTGGGCTTAATGAATGCTTTCCATTCTTCTGATTACTTTACTCATCATAAACGTCCAGAGGTCTCTCCAGGGCTACTCAACGTTTGAAACTGAATGGCCCCTTTCCTCCCACTAGAAACACAGCGAGTAGCATTGGTGTTTGGAGAAAGAACTGAATTCTCTTCATTGTCATATTGTCTTGCCACCATGCCGGGAATATGTTTGTATATATTATTATATTGTTACACTTGTTGAAAGAGTGTATTATTTCCTCCAAATTGAAGAATGGAAGTGCTTTTGTCCACTGATGCCTGAGGCAATATAGAAATCATTATTATTGTAATCTGAAAAGCCATAACTATCTCCAGATGTCCATTACGTGAGTTAAACCCACCTCTCCCTCCTTGCTCTCACCTTTGTCAAAACGTAAGGGGGAGGCCGTGATCCTTTGGCCTACTTCCCCGGATAGTGGCGTGTTGGAGTGGTTGGCAGGAGTCCTAATCCCAGAAAGGGACTGGGGTGTGGCTCTGACCATAATCAGCAAATGGGCCACGTCTGTACCAACCAGGTGGCTTCGGGCTCTCTGGGAGCCCCAGGAGGCCCTGGGAGAAAAGCAGGTGGTCCACGGCAAGAAAGTCCATCCTTGGAATCTCACTGCGGGTCCTTTCAGGACTGTCCTCTCCACCCGCCATGGCTCCGCCCCTCCCCGGCGTCTCTTATCCCTCCTCCCAGTTTACGCAGAAACCTCACTCTTACCAGACTGGATGGTTGTTCAAGGAACCAGCAACCAATCCTACGAAGGAGACAGAGAAAGGAGGAAGGCCCCGCAAGGCGGAAGGCCCCAGGGCCGGAAAGCCTAAATCGGGTTTTGGGGAACCGCAGGAAGGTCTTTGAAATGAGGGTGCCACGGAGGGTGTGATGGGGAGAATGTTTCCAAAGGACCACCACGTTTTTCTTTCCCCAGGAGAAGGTCATCCCTTCTGTCATCATAGAGCCCGCTTCCAACAACGAAGAGGAGGGAGGACACGAAATAGCGACAGGTGCAGAGTCCAAGGAGGCGACTGAAGACCCGGCTCTCTCAGGCCCCACCAGTGAGATGCCTGCGCCCGCTGCTGAGCAGAAGGCTCCTGAGGACTCCCAGCCGGAGCCCTCCGCTCCGCCTGCAAGCCAGGCCTCTCAGGAAGTGCCTCCCGGCTTTCTCTACAAGGTCTTTCCATTCTTCATTCTTCATTTTTAAATCCGGTGGCCAGTCGTCCTTCCTCTGCTTTGAGGCCCTTCAGCTCACACCTTTGGCTTCCGATGTTCATTTTTAGTTTTTGCCGCACAGACCTTTTTTCTGCACTGCTTTCCCCTCCCTCTTGACATCATATGGCAACAGGGCAGGGTTTCTGTGCTGTGGGCAAGGGAACTACAGTGATGTCTTTCCATGTTTAGCCAAGGATAGTTCAATGCTATGGCCCTTGTTAGTGAGTGGGTTCCTGCCTTCCACCTGAGTGCCCTCTGCTCCCCGCAGAGCTCCGTGGGGGCCTCCAGCCCTGGGCTCACCTGCTCCCAGCTGGATTATACCCACCTCGGAAGGCAGGACACAGGAATCACCCATTTAACTCTGGCAACTCTGGCAGGACACAGCAGGGAGCCAATAAGTATTTTAAAAGAAAGTGGATACATATGTTAATGGACTTCTATGAAAAGGAAGAGAGAAACCAGGCCAAAATTTGTGGGCAGGAGCTCTTGCTCAGAGAGGCCAGCAAGTGGTTACATAGAACCTTTGTGCATTGAAGGGCCCTTACAAAAGCCAGCCCAGAAGATACTAGAAACACAGGCTTCACCTACGTGGGAAAGGCAGCAGATCCTCCGTAATAGAACATTGTCAGGAATTAAAAGTCCCATCATTCGCTTTTACATGTCGAATTTCAGGTCTTGGTCTTTTAAGAAGTATTAAATTTTTGATTGTTCGTGTGGGCGGGATTGCCTGGTCATGATCTTTTTCTTCTCTCTGCTTCTTAGTCAGTACCTGTTGCTGCATCCTATGGGATGGGGTGGGTATAATGGATTTATGAATGAATTATGTGACAAAAACACTAAGCCTGTGGCAGGTGAGGGCATGTGTCCCACCGTGTTTTGTGTTACAGAACAAGTAATCAGGATGCAGGGTGCCGCCGGAGGCCGGGCCCAGCTGGGCCCTCTGACCTCCTTACTGGCCACTTCACTGCCCACCCCACCCCCTCTGGGTATCAGTATTCTCATCAGAAAAACGAATTTGGGGATAAGAGAGTAACTTCCAGCTCTGACATTTTATGATTCTACATGCAAACAACACATTTGAAGAGCTGATTATTTAATCTCATGGGTAGGGGAGGGAGGGACATGGGAGAAATAGACCCGGGTGTGATTATAGATTGTTATTTAAGCTGCATAATGGGGCTCATTTTACTCTTCTACTTTTTAAAAATTTTCTATACTCAAAGTTAAAAGAAATCTTTCCAAAAAGGGAACTAGAAATAGATTGTCATGTTTAAAACGTAGGACAGAGAAAGAAGGAAGTTTATTTGCAAGAGACTGGACACAGGACTTGATTAAATCCTGATTTCATTATAACATGCAAGCCACAGTTTTCCCAATGCGACAGAAGCTGTGGTTAGAGGAACATTCAGCTAGGCATTTTCAGTTCAGGTTAAAAAACAAACCATAATAAAGCATCTGTGATAGATAATTACATGCAAATCTCTAGCAAAATTATGATGCATTAAACTTCAATGCACAGCGTTTGAGCTCTAGCAGAAGGCATTGCATTACTAAATATGCGTCCAAGTGGCCCAGTTTCCGTCTGCAAGAATAGGATGTGTTGAGTAAAGGAGAGGATTTCGTTTCTGCCTTCAGGAGCCTTCTCCTCCCCTGGGGAGGTACAGGTCTTCCTTTTTATCAGCTTGGAGATGCCATTAAGATGCCTGCAGATCCTCAGACTGTGAGAGTTTGACCTGTTTTTCTTCCTCACATGATTCAGTTCTTTTACAACTTTGCAGGTGGAAGCACTGCACGATTTCGAGGCAGCAAATTCTGATGAACTTACCTTACAAAGGGGTGACGTGGTGTTGGTGGTCCCCTCCGATTCGGAAGCTGACCAGGTAAAGGCTGAGATTGGAAAGTGCAGTAAGCTCTGTTGGTTTTTGCCTAAGGTTCATTTGGGCATGGTGACTTCCTGAAGCCGTTTGCATTTTCTGAGATGCTGCAAGGCCACTTGGAAAAGGATTTAAGGGCTTATGACAACAGTACATCACGAAATTTAGGTTTGGGATGCTATTACATTGTTTATTTTTTATATAAATAGATGACTTTTGTCAGTCAAATTTTCCTGCTTTTCTCACCTGTAGAAATTTTCTTACAGTGGGTAATTCATTATAGAGTCTGGATTCTGTTTTCTATCTCTGAAGATTACTTCTTGTAGCAGCCATTCAAACCACTGGATAATTACCTTGAATCCATGGAAGTTTGTTTTACTCACTTTGTTAGAATGGGTCTGTTTCAGGTTTGCCATACTCTTAGGATAAATTCTTAGTCCTGGGTCATTGTCTCTACCTCTAAGACATGCCCCATCTGGAATTTCAATAGAAATTCTGATGGGTTGATCAAGCCCTCTAACTTGATGGCATTTGAACTCTAAATTCTGCCTTCCCACCACTCATTTGAATCATCTTTTCCAGCCTTCCTGCTTTCCCAAGGCCTCTTGGGGGTCCCCCTTATGCATTCATAATTTGGGGGCAGCTCAGGATTTTAGAGAAGCTTCTCTGTGTATTTGAGGCACTTTCCCTGTATGTCTCTTTTTTCAAGACATCCCCCATAAAAGTACAGCTGCTCCTCAAATCTATCCTCTGAATGCCCTGCATCACAACGACTGAGAAGAACCCCCAGGGGAAAGGCTGTACTAGCACAGATCCCACCTGCACAGCACCCTACTTCTAAGAGTTAAATTGTCTCTGATGTCTGCCTGCTTTTGGTTACTCTCAGTGCCTTCAAATGATTGTTATATAGGTACAACCCCTTTATTTATAACAAGCCCATTAAATAAACGTACATTTTATAGTAAATATTTTGTAACTAATAGTCATTTCTGTATTAAAATATTAGGTCTAGTAATAATTAATGTCGTTTTCTAATACCTTTTTTTTAAATCGAATTTATTTAAACAATACAACAAAATTTAATCAACAATATAGTTGCTGTTGTTTTCTACTACTTGTGCCCAACGCTCAGGAAGCATTGTAATCCCTCTGTTGTAAAATTCTTGTGATTTTAATGCAAAAAATTCGGTCAATGCATTTTTGAGGCATTCTTCATTATTAAATTTTTTTCCAAGAAGAAAGTTTTGCAAAGAACGAAACAAATGGTAATCGGAAGGGGCAATATCAGGAGAATATGCAGGTTGAGGGAGAACTTCCCATTCCAACTGGCGCACAGTTTTTCAGCAGTGATTCTTGCAGTATGCGGTCGTGCGTTATCGTGGTGAAGAATTACGCCCTTCCGATTAATCAGCGCGGGTTCTTTTTCTCTTGAAGCTTGGGCTAACCTTTCCAATTGGGCACTATACACTGCACTTGTAATGGTTTGGTTAGATGGTAAAAGTTCATAATGAAGAATTCCTTTAAAATTCCACCAAACACACAACATCACTTTTTTCGCATGCAAGTCAGGTTTTGGCGTGGGCTGCGGAGCCTCATTTTTGTCCAACCATTGAGGCCGCCTTTTCAAATTAACATACAGCACCCATTCTTCATCTCCGGTAACAATTTGCTCTAAAAACGGCAAACGGTTTTGACGAGAGAGGAGCAAACTGCAAATTGTGACTCTTTGATTACGGTTGTTGTCGGTCAACTCATGAGGAACCCATTTTCCAAACTTTTGGACTTTGCCCAGTGCACGCAATTGATTGGAAATTGTTTTTTGTGAACAATTTAAAGTTGTCACAAGCTCTTGTTGGGTAATTTGAGGATTTTGCACCAAAAGAGCTTGAAGAGCTTCTTGATCAAAATTGGACACACGGCCTCGACCACTCTTGTCATCTAATGAAAAATTTCCCTCGCGAAATTTCTCAAACCAACGCTGGCATTTTCTGGCACTAACTGCATCTTGACCAAGAGCACTACAGATGTTTTTTGCAGCCTCACTTGCTTTTCTTCCTAATTGGAACTCGTAAAGCATGCAGTGCCAAATATGCTCTTCATCTGCCATCTTCTTAGCCCTAGTTTTGCAACAAAAACCAAACCAAACACAAACTTTTTCAAGCAAAACTTGTTAATTGCACTTCACACGTTCTGTAGATACCACGTGTTTGAAGGTTATGTCAATACAAGTCAACGCCAAGCAAGATTTTAAACGGATGTTTAAAAACGACATTAATTATTACTAGACCCGATAGTTGCCTATATCTATACATATTAGGTCTATAAAAATATATAGTTTTTTCTAGTGCTTAGAATTGCTCTGTGCAGAAGCATTTGTCTGCTACAAGCTATTTTACCATTACCAAAACTGGAAATTCTTAGTCTACCACATAGTTTAAATAGTTAAAATTTAATTTTCTATTTGCCTCAGCTAAAGATTGATACTGGTTAGTAATAGTTCAGTTTACTATATAAATTTTATTTCAGGATATACATCTTGCAATTTATCTTTTTATTACATTTATTTTTATTGAGAGTATTACAGATATCTTGAGTGTAGGTTTATGCCAGTCCTTTACTTTTGTTTTTTGTTGAAACAGTTTTAAAGTGCTTGACTCTACTTGGCACCATTAGATTTTCCACTCATTATAAATAAAGTTAAATATAAAATATAGATACTTGCAGAGAAAAGCGTGGCCTTTTGTGTGCTTACCCAATAAATTTCATTAAAAATAAAATAGAAAGAAAATATTTAGTTACCACCTTTTACTTTATGTATAACTTTGTCCTTCACACATATAACATCATAATTTTAAAAAGAATAATTTTGTCATCACCTAGGATATTATCAGTTATTTTATTGTCAATTTTTCCCACTGTTATTTTTTTCTGCCTTCAGAAATTGGCCTGTCTAAATGCTTATATTTCTTGTCTCTATAGCAGCATCAATTTATGGTCTCAGATTATATCACAAGAGAATGTATTCAGCTCCTTTAATTTTTGAGTTCCCATTTATCTGATGTACTTGAAACTTCATTGGGAATTGGTTCCGATTAAATCTGGCCATCCTTCATCTTATGAGGGATCTCTCTCATGTGTTGGTTAACATAATAAAGATAGCCATGCCCCACCAGCTTGGCTTGAATGGACTGTATGTTCACGTTGCTCCTTCAGCTCAGCTTCAGCTCAGCTCAGAATGGGCTTATTTTCATAGGCCAAGGACAGATGGCCATCTCCGTTTCTCAGTTTTACATGCCATCTCCTGTGCTGTCTGACCACACACAGATGGGCTATTTAACCTTTCTCTGACTAAGTGTCTGCAGTTCCACAAAATAGACACATGTTTATAAACAGTGATCTATAAAGAATATACGAAGGTTTCCAACAAGAATATCATGACAACAAACTGCTTTGTACTTTATATAAACTTGAAAAATATAGATATGATAACAGCAACCATAACACAGCAGTAACATCCGGCTACTTTTCTAACCATTACTATTGGATCAGCCCAGGATGTGGTGGTTTACTTAGGTTACAAGATGTGAGCTGGGGGTAAGGATAACAGAGTTGTTTTTTTATTAGCAGGTGGTTCAGGATGAAATCCAAGAACTTGGATGGCCTTGCCAGCACTATATTCTAATCTAGCCTTTTGATCATCGTGACCCCCAGGGCAAGAAATGTTCCTGTGCATAACATCTTCTTACATGTATCCCTCTCTTTGTGCTGGCTATTATTCCTTTTTAAAAATATGTATATATTGAATGGATTTTAGAGAGGAAAGGAGAGAGAAATAAGGACAGAAACATCAATGATGACAGAGATCATTGACTGGCTGCCTCTGCACGCCCCGTACTGGGGATCGAGCCCACAACCTAGGCACGTGCCCTGACTAGGAATCTCTTGGTTCATAGGTCAATGACCAGTGACCTGTTGATGCTCAACCACCGAGCCACACTGGCTGAACTTTGCTGCTGTAACTCTAACCCTTTTCTTTTCCTGGACAACTCAAGTCATACTCCAGTTGCCATCCATCAGCTATCGTTTATACAAAATTATAATATTAATAGCAACTTTCCGTCAGCCTCCCCACTGACCTCAGCACAGCAGTGGACATGTAACGTAACATGTTGGTGCAGAGCCACAACACTGACTACACGGATTGCTTTGTTTAACTGTTGGCAGTGTGGGTTTTCCCCGTGGCTGGACCTTGAAAGGCCTGTCTCTGTCTTGCAGGACGCGGGCTGGCTGGTCGGCGTGAAGGAATCGGACTGGCTCCAGTACAGAGACCTCGCCACCTACAGAGGCCTCTTCCCAGAGAACTTCACCCAGCGCCTGGAGTAGGGCCAAGGGCATTGCAAAAAGAGCCTGGCATTGAGGTTTTTAAACCTTCGTGAAAACCTGAAGAGTTCACTTCTGCTATTACGCTCCTAATGACTTGCAGGCTGATGCCAGATACAGGTTGGAAGGCTATATCCACGGAGCATGTGTGCAAAAAAAAAAAAAAAAAAAAAAGTGTAAGAAAAGAAAAGAAAAAAGCAAATGAAGGAGAAAGTCCTCCCTGGTTCCCCTGTGATTCAGAACAAGTTTGTTTGTGCTTTGTCCGAGCTGTGGAGACTCTTGTACTTGACCCCCCTCCCACCAGTTCTAAAGTAGCTTTCTCCAGACCTTAACTCTGGGCACCAGGTGTGTAGTGTGAGGTGCTGCCCTGCAGAAGCTGTGCTGAGTGATCCTGTAGAGCAAGATGGTTTCCTTCTGGGGCCGTGTGCCCCCGTGCCACGCCCCTTCTTTCTCTCTCTCTGTCTCTCTCTCTCTCTCTCTCTCTCTCTCTCTCTCTCTCTTTCTCTCTCTCTTACAAGTTTACTGTGTTTAAAACGAAACTGCTGCAAAAGTTTTCAATGTTCTTTTCCAACACACCTCTGTCTCTCTTTCTCTTTACACACACATATATATAGACATATATATGGACATTGTGCACGAGCTAGTTCCCATCACTCCCGGGCCTATGTGTATGCACAGAAGGCATATACATAGCTGCTTTCTTTCCATGGTAGCCCTTTGCCTCCCTGGTGTCATTGGTACATGCATTGCTCTTATTCTGTCTGGCACTGCAATTGCAGTTTTTGCCTCAGAACAAAGCCAGCCATCCCATTGCCAAAACAGTCGACGGTATCTGTGTCCGTAACGCGCATCGTTTGGGGTGCGATGACAAGAGGCAGGTCAGAGCTGCTGTCCCTTTGGAGAAAGGCAGAGCCTGATTCCCTGCATGTCCGGCTGCTGTGGCTGGAGGCAGGCTGGTCGGGATGAGCAGCGAACTTCCTAACGTCTGCCTTTAAGAGATTGGCTAGAGATCGGGGCATAGAAACCCACCCCAAAAAGAACACTTCAAAATAAGCTCCTCTATATTTCCACCTCCTTCTATTTATGCGACTCCACTTCACGGATTGTCCTAAACTAAGGTATGCTGTATTCACAGATCATCTGTAACGATAATGTTCTCAGTGCTGTGTCATTCCGAATAAACCTTTGGTCCGCTCCAGCGACTACCCCAGTTCCTTCTGACGAGTCATTTGTTTTTGGAAAGCTGGTCTCAGTCGGATTCCCTACTGTGTTATATTGGAGTTGTTATTTGTGCAGAAATCTGCTTGTGACCCTTGGTTGTGCTCCATGGCTCCTTCCCCCCCCCCCCGTTCATTCCGGTGATTGCTGGTCCCTGGTGGTCCTCGCGGCCTGACAATCACTACAGCACAAATAACAGCTGCGGACGGAGGCCCCACAGAGGTGGCGGCTGTGGCCCCAGATCTGTGTATCACAGAAAAACCTGACGACCTTCATAATCAGCGATTTCTTCTCACACCAGCCTCATTTTTTTTTTTTTTTGTCACCTTTCTTTTTGACATCTTTATGTGTGTAGGCACATTAAAAAGAAAACTAGCTCAGGGGGATCGTTGTTTATGGAAGAGAATTTTCACAGCAAAAACCTTCCATTTCGTGTAGACGCTTTTCCTGCCAGTGTAATTCTAGACAGAGTGGAAGCTGATCGACAATACCCATGGCTAGACTGAGGATTTTGTTATGTATTATGATTCATGGTTTGACTTCTCCGGGTGGGTTCCTGACGTTGATGTTTGTGTTGATAGGGAAATAGCAATGATCCACCTGAGATTTCGAGGGGGCTAATGTCCGGGGAAGCTGGATCATCATGAATGCTGGTCCAGCGCAAGAAAAGAAGGTGCACGGTCCAGCAGCACAACTGATGACTCAGCAAACAACATGCAGCATTGCCCAACATGTCATAGAAAAGCCATCCCTGGCATTGAGAGTTCTCAAAAGAGCTTGAAAGCTAAGATTGAAAAAGCAGTTCTTACAATAAATGCACCTGATGTTCCCCAAAAATCATTCATTGTCCCACCTCCTGGAGCGGTTCCCCTGGTGTTTCTCTGATGTTCCCCCCTTCTCCCCCTCCTCTCCCCTGTCCCCCATTGCAGATCCCAAAGTGAACAGCTTGGCAGGGCGCAGCTCCTTCACCTGTGATATCCCTGGAGGAATTTAACAAGTTCTTCCAAAATGGCATGCTTTCAAGGAGCTGCTTTGCCTTTATGTGTAGCCTATGAAAGACTTGATAACACCAAAAATGTAATCAGATTATTTGTCTCAGGAATTTTCAGGATCCTAAATTTTCCAAACCAGTGAAAATTCAGAGGGGGAAGTGGAAGCGATGAGATGGTGGTATTCTCCAGAAATGTCTATGGACGCGGAATAAACATTCTTTTCCATGTCAGTGCATTTCCTAAGGGACCTGTGAGTGGTTTGTTTCAAGGAATTCCTATGGTTACTAGTGTGAAAGGTCCTTACACATCCCTTTCTCAGTTACTCCAATTCAAGTTCTCAGGCCACCAATCCACCTTGTGGCACATCACCTGACCACATACTGGTGAGTTTGTACCGTAGTTATGCTTTATTACAAAGGGCCTTGACCCCAGAACCCTATCCAGGCCTCCTCTTTGTATTTTAAGATTTTTCTGACCAACCCAGTGGCACTCAGTCCTTCAGATAGTCTAAAGGACCTTCCAAGAATAAGAACAAGAAAGCCTGTGGGTTTTATGGAACACACACCTTATTTGCATTCCTACCAGTACCACATATAGACATGCATTTAGGCCTGCATTTAGACATGCACGTATGTACTCGCTAAACTCTCTGACAACTTGAATTTTAGCAGCATCTCAGCATAGCCGGGGGCCTGGGATGGGAGGAGCTCTATGCACCCGGCTGTCACCGTGCTCCCACAGGCCCTGCTCCTCCTGACAGAGCTGGGGCAGAATACCACATCTGGCCTGTGTGGGGCTGCCCGGGGGGTGCAGGTTCAGAATGTGGAGCCCTCTCTTATCACATGAAGGAGCTGTAACCAGGCCACTAGACAAATTCCAGCAGGACCCCAGGGCCCATTCTGATGGTCCACTCAAGAAACAGCCATTAGGAACCTGCAAAAGTTACCGTAAGTCAATGAGTTTAAAGAGGACTGAAGCTCCGTGCTTTATGCCACGCAGCTTGCACGACCGAGCACCTCGAAGCCTTAGACATGGCTGATTGCCTTGCTGGGACTCCACTCCTCTGCAATGGAGCCCACGCTGCCTTCTGGTTTTTACTTGAAACCCAACGGAGAACCTTTCTTCAGAACCCTAGGCCTGCAACGTGGGAGCCCACTCTGTGCTTCATTTTCCATACTACACACACCTGCCTCCATTTCTTCCTCACAATGGTAGGAGACTTTGCCCTTTAACCATTGCCACCTGATCTAAGAGTGGTCCTCATCCTGAAAAGCAAGACCCATGATCTTCCCTGATCTCTCATGGTCTTTCTTCCAGCTTGCCTGCACTCCTAAGTCATCTTACATAGACTGATATCAATATTACCATCCCTCTTTTGTCCCCCCACACTGATGATGAGTATGTATTGTATGTCATACCCCTTTGCCCCCAACACTGATGATGAGTATCTATTGTATGTCATATAACCCCTTTTGTTGCCCCCATACTGATGATAAATATCTATGTATGTCATATCAAACCCTGTGCCTCTGCTTGTCTTCACTAATACTTGTCTTCTACTTCCTTCAGACCAGTCTTCTCACTTTCCATCCTGCCCTCCCACCAGGCCTCTAAACCCTGCTCCAGTGCAATGCCCTCTCCTGGAATGCACTCCCCTTCATGTTTGCTGCTGCAATTCCCCCTCCCCTCAAGGCACAGCTCAAGCCCCACCTCCTCAACAAAGCCTTCCTCACCACTCCCTCCTCTGCCTGTTACCTATTCGGCTCTCTTCATTTAGCCCTTCATTTCCCCCACTAATGGATAAACTCTCCACCAGCCTGCTCCATGTTCTGAGTCAGCTCCAGGGGCCTTATATACAAGCACATTGAGTAATTTGCAGTCTGGCAGCTGCTAGGGACCCTACCAGTGCACAAATTTTGTGCACTGGGCCTCTAGTAAAAAATAAATCTGAAGCATAATGGGGTGATGCAGACAGATGAGAATTCTAAAAATCCCAAGCGACTTTACTTTGTATACATATTTAAATTTACTAAGGGTATTCTCTTTAATTTCTAGAAAGGCCAAGAACCAACTACCTGTAAAATTAACACAGTTCAGCCTTTGGAGTCTGCTGTAGTTGTTTACAAGTGCACCTGAGTGTGTACACATGCACTCTCTCCCAGGCTGTGTTCACACCCTTCTTTGGAAGTAAGAGCCTCAGGTGGTGGTTAGGCTTGGAAACAGATTAGCAGACCAGGTAAACACATTCATTCCCAGGAGTCACGGGACTCATGGGAATTAATATGTTTTTGTTAAGGGACCTACCCCAGAATAGAATTTTTCTAGAGCAGTATCAAATCCAGAGGAAGCAAGCAATCTGCATTATTGTTGATCCAAATAAAAATAAACTTCCATTTTTCATTATGCTACACCTGTTATTTCAATATCTCCAATACCAGTTTAAGTCAGAACCACAAATTATTAGAACTGGAAAACACCCAAAAACATCACCCAATCCTTTCATTTGAGGCTGGCAAAATGGGGGCCTGGCAAAAAAAGGAGTCACTTGCCTACAACTACCAAGCACATTAAGAATACAATTTGCAAAACCTGTTTTTTGCCTTGCGTTTTATTCATTATACTGAGTCTTTGCTGCTAATAGACATCACTTACAGGGGCTCCAATACAGAGGAATTTAAATGTATAACATACCTCCAATGGCCAGGAGGGGATGCTAGAAGTTTGTGTAAGTAACTACATGCGATCAAAATACTTGCTGAAACCAGTTTGGCTCAGTGAATAGAGCATCAGCCTGCAGACTGAAAGGTCCCAGGTTCAATTCTGGTCAAGGGCATATATCTTGGTTGCAGGCACATCCCCAGTAGTGGGTGTGCAGGAGGCAGCTGATCGATGTTTCTCTCTCATCGATGTTTCTAGGTCTCTCTCTAACTCTATCCCTCTCCCTTCCTCTCTGTAAAAAAAAAAAAAAAAAAAAAAAAAAAAAAAAAAAAATCAATAAAATATATATATAAAAAATACTGTACGTACTTTTTAAGCATGAAGCTTGTAATTGAAAACAAGAGGCATGGATACATGGAACAGACTGACAGCTGTCAGAGGAGAGAGGGAAAACGGGAGAGTGGAGAGAGGTACTGGATGAACGATGAAGGGATTAGCCAAAGAATATAGCTCATAGACTCAGATAACTGTGTGATGAGGGCCAGAGGGAAAGGGTGCAGGGGCTGGATGGAGATGGGCAAAGGGTGGGAGAAATGGGGACATCTCTAATAGTGCCAACAATAAAAATAGAATTAAAAAAAAGAAAACAAATAGGAGTATAGCAACATCACATTTTGCACTTATAATAAATGCAGCAACCCAAATGAGTACAGAAATCAATCCCTGAATCACAAACAGCCAAACAAGTTACTTAGGGCACAGGCTCGAGACTGGCTGATTTGGTTAAATTCTTGATGTTCTCTTTTTCAAGCTAGGGTGCCTCAGTAAGTCACGTAACCTACCTATGCCTCTATTTCATCTGCAAAATGGGGACTGGTAACTACCACTGAATGCTTGCTAGAAAGAAAGAATGATGTACAATGTTCCACACTCAATAAAGGGTATTTTCTATCTTCTAATGGATCAATGATTCTGCTGTGATCTTTAGAAATTAGTGTTTTACAGAAGGCAATCAACTATTAACTCGAATGTGCTGAAGGAATTTTCTACTTTTTGAGGTCCTCCATATTAGGTTAGTTAATACTCTTCAAGAACATCTTATGCTCTTTGCTTACTGGCATGTGAGAGTTTTTCTCCAATTTCTGCAATCTTTCTGGAAT